AAACAGCTTCAGGTTCGGGATATGGAGCTTGTGCCAGATGAACTTGCAGGAGAGAGGCAAGGGGGAGGGTTGGACGAAGCAAGAGTAGGCATTTTTGATAGAGAACGGACCCATGTTCATGAGAACAGAATCATTGGCTTGGACTTTTAAAGCTTGGGAGTGTATCCTTGCAATCCTTTTCCAAACCGGCGAGTCAGTAATTTTCTCTTTAATGGAACTGGGATGGATATGATACTTGGCTCTCATTAGCTTAGTCCAGAGGCTGTCTTCATGTTGGGTTTTCCACCACAACTTAAGGGAGTATGCTTGTTGGATATGGTGAAGATCTCTAATCCCCAACCCTCCTTGGTCCGTAGGAAGGCAAACTTTGTCCCATTTGATCTAGTGGTGTTTTTGTATGCTTTCTTTTGCTCCCCAAAGAAAACTGGCCATCATTTTGTGGAGAAGTTTGATCACCTCAAGGGGGAGAGAATGAACTGCCACTAAATGTAAAGGAATGGAAGACAATACATGCTTAATAAGGATAAGCCTACCAATGGGGTTGAGGGCTTTACTGTACCAAGAGGACAGGAATTTTTCAAAGTGAGTAAACAGGGAAGAACAATGTTCCTTTTTCAACTTTCCTTTACAAATGGGTGCTCCAAGGTAGATAAAAGGTTTGGCTCCTGGCTTCATACTCAAGGCTCTTTCCATTGCAGAAAGTGACGTTGTAGGGGTCCTGGTAGGGCTGTAGAATCTGCTCTTATCATAATTTATTGCTTGACCAGAGGCTGCTAGGTAAGTTTCAAGGATTCCTTTGATTCTAAGGAGATTTCAGAAGTGTCCATTGGTGAAAAGGATCAGATCATCCGCAAAGGCCAGGTGGTTAATCCTGGGGCATCTGTCTGCATTGAAAGGTGTGATGAAGCTGGAGTTTACATGGTGGTTAAGGGTTCGGCTTAGACCTTCAGCCCCCAGGATGTATAACAATGGCGAGAGAGGATCTCTTTGTTTGATGCCTCTTTCCATTTTGAAAAAACCAGTGGGTTCACCATTGATTAGGATTGAGAAGTGGGTGGATTTAAGATTTGCAAAGAGAATCCTAATGACATGAGGGGAGAAACCAAAAGCTGAAAGGACACCCTGGAGGTACTCCGAGTTGAGCCTATCAAACGCCTTGGCCATGTCCACCTTGATGATGAGATTCCCCCCATTAACTTTCCTGTCAAGGGAGTGATGGAGTTCTCCGGTAATAAGAATTTGATCAGCAATATCCTTCCCTTTTTGAAAGGCCCCTTGTTCCATGGATATTAGTTTGGGAAGGAAGGATTTGAGTCTGATGGCAAGGAGCTTGCTAAGGATTTTACTCATGAAGGTAGAGAGGGAGATGGGGCGAAAGTCGTTGAAAGTTTGAGGGTTTGGGATTTTGGGTATAAGGGTTAAGGTGGTGGCCCCATAAGCTGTGGGAGGGGGAATTCCCAGGAAGAACTCTTGCATGGCAAGTAGGAGGTCCTTCCCCAAGATGTGCCAGGTCCTGCGAAAGAACTCTCCATTAAATCCATCCGGGCCACAAGTGCTATGCGGGTCAAGTTCCCAACCTGCCTGTTTAACCTCTTCCATGGAAGGAAGGCGTGATATGAAGGCATTATCTTCCTCGCTGATTACTTGGGGGATAAATTTCAGAATCTCCTGAGGATCAATAATGCTGGAGTGGGAGAAGGTTTGGGTGAAGAAGTCGACAGCTTCAGCCTTAATGCTTGCAGCGTCCTTAAGCGTTTGACCTGATCTGGATTTGATTTGTGATATAGTGAGTTTAGCTCTCCTGCCCTTAACGAAGGAATGGAAGAACTTGGAATTGCTGTCTCCCTTTTCCATCCCCCGTATTTGGGCCTTTTGCTTCCAATATTCCGTCTCTTTTTTAGTTGCCATTAGCAGGTTAGCCATAGCTTGCGACCAAGCTTCCCTATTGGATTCAATAGGGTTGGAATCATAGGAGAGTTCTGCAGTGATGGCTTCTTCCTCTGCTTTTTTAAGATTTTGAAAAATATCACCAAAGGATTCCTTGTTCCACTTACGGATTGCTGATTTTAGCTCCTTTAATTTGTTGCTAAAACCTCTCATACCTCCACAAGTTCCAGTAGAAGTCCAGATGTGATTAATAGTTGTGAGAAATGAGGGGTTTGAGAACCAGACATTAAGGACTTTGAACCCTTTAGGAGATCTTGGGGTTTCCAGAATGCAATCCAGCAGCAAGGGGTTATGATCTGAGCCTGCCTTACTAAGGTTGGAGGCATTTAATATCTGCAAAAAAATTAAGACAATCAATGTTAGCCAGGACCCTGTCCAACCTTCTCCAAAGCCGCCCTTGCCCTCTATTCCCACTCCAAGTGAACCAGCCCTTAACAGGTTGTATGCTTGTGAGGGAGTTACTTGGAAAGGCATTCTTGAAATTCATCTATGCTTTTAAGGGGTGGAGAGGAGTTGCCTTTGTGTTCATCTAGGGAGAGGATTTCATTGAAATCCCCCCTACAATCCAAGCCTCATCTGAAGGACATGTTTCTGAAAGGGAATGCCAGAGCTCTTGACGCTCAATGATAGAGTGTTTTCCATAAACAGCAGTAATGTTGAAGATTTTATTGAGTTCCTTATGGAGGAATCTGCACAAGATGGATTGGGAGTTACTGGAGAATCCAAGGAGGTGAAGGATATCATCACACCACAAAGTCCAGATCTTATTATTAGGGTTAGCCAAGCAGTGGGAGAAACCCAGTGAGAGCTTAAAGAAAGGAAGTTTGTTACAATTTACAAAAGGCTCAAGGACAGAAAGAAATGGGATAGAGTGGGCTTTGAGAAGGGATTTAAGCCTGTGGAGAGAGGAGGCAATCCCACGAACGTTCCAGAATAAGAGCTTCATTGATTAACAGGAGGAGGAACGCCAACGCCAAATTTCTGGCTTCTAGTGAGGATATTACTTGGGGGGTAGTTCCTCTTCTTTCTAGGCCCCCTTGGGGCGCCAACCCCTTTCGAAGCATATTTCTCAATGTTGAGATGGAGGGGTTGCAGTTTTTCTTTATTGAGAAGCTCATACTCCCCTTCTGAGTGACAGTGTACCTCCCCCAATTCCTCTTGAGAGAAGTCCGAAGCCATTTCTACGACCTCAGGTTCCCTCAATTCCTACCATTTTCAACCTAGAACCCTTTATTCCAAGCAGTACCTCAGTAGAAACGACGGAGGACATAACGCACCTCTCTGACCGCCCCACCCTGGTTCTAGTTATTCCAACCACCCTCACCGTTTCCCCCTCCCAACATATCCCCCCCCCTTACCTCTCGAGGACCAAAATGAAAGCTTGGCACCCACTATCTGAAATGGTAGTGGGTTGTGGGTCAACTGACGAGGTGGAAGGCTGGTTGAGAGGTGGTAAGACATTAAGGGGAGGGTGGGGTGAACAAAGGATGGATTTTAGTGCATGGCATGAAGCTGGAGGGGCAGGGACAGCTTTCCAGAGGTGAGGTGGTTTACTCCTTGGCATATGTTGCTTGGCTTTTTTTGTTTGGACCACTGTCCAACCAGCTTCACTCTCTCCTATCATTGCCACCTTTTCCTTGCCGGCGTTGTGGACTTCCCTGCCGGCAACAGCCCTCAAAGGACAATTCTGCCTGGCGTGACCAAGTTTGAGGCATGAATGACAAAAGGAAGGGAGTTTTTCATAAGAAATGGGGAAGAGGTGTTCCTTTTCGCCCAGTCTGACATGGAGGAAAGGAGGTGGAGGATTGGAGACATCAATTCTGATGCAAATTCTTGCCCTCTCAACGTGACCCCCAGATGCAGTACGAGCATCCATTTTTATGGGTTTCCCTAGCGCTGAGCAAAGAGTGAACAAAGGTTTAGGCTGAATCAAATGTAGAAGGATACCTTTGATAGTAACCCAAATCGGCACAAGAGGGCAGTCACTAGAGGATTTGTAATCAGGGAACCATTTGAACACATAAAGGGAGTGGCCTCCAATAACCCAACTCCTGCGCAGGAAAAATCTGAGGTATTCATTTTCCTCCTTAAAGGAAAAGAGCGTGTCATGCTTGGTGAGGCTCTGGATATGAACATGCTTAAAACCAATAGCCCTCAGGCTATTCCGGATGGCAGATAGGGGAATCGAAGCCTTGGACCTTCCAATAACAGAGAGTTTGAACTTACCTGCTAGAGTCCGGATCTCATCATGGGAGAAAGAGACTGAGGGATACCCATGGAGGAAACCAGTAGCAGATCCAATCGGTAGAACATCTGGGGAGAAGAGCTCGGTGAATAGCTTCCTTTTGGGCAAAACGCGAGTTGGTTTCTCCGCCGGAGAGTTTTCCGAAGATTTCCTCTCTCTTTCGCCTCTGTTCTTCGTATCACTGCTCTGTTTCTGCTCTGTTTCCTCCCGCCTCCTCGTCGGGCTAAATTGGGATATAATAATCGAGAAATGAGCAGCGGGGGAGACATGAATCAGCAGCAGCAGATTCAGCAGCACCAGCAATGGATGGCGATGCAACAATACCAGCAGCAGTGGATGGCGATGCAGTACCCGCCGGCGCCAATGGTCATGTACGGCCAGCACTACCTGCCCTATTACCCGCAGAATCACCCCCAGCAGCCGCAGCAGTTCGAGCAGCAAAAGCTATCTCCGCCGCGGCCGCCTCAGAATCAGTGCTCCGGCGGCGAGGATAACCGGACGATCTGGATTGGAGATCTCCAGTAGTGGATGGACGAAGGGTATCTCCATTCTTGCTTCGCTCCCACGATATTTGTGGGCGGACTTGATTCTGATGTCACTGATGAAGAACTAAGACAGTCCTTCACTCAGTTTGGCGATGTGGTATCCGTTAAAATACCAACTGGAAAAGGGTGTGGTTTTGTACAATTTGCTATTAGGAGCGCGGCCGAGGATGCATTGGAGAAATTAAATGGTTCATTTATCGGGAAGCAGACGGTTCGTCTTTCATGGGGTCGCACTCCATTAAACAAGCAGCAAGGGAGAAGTGAGAACAATGGCCATTGGAATGGAGCTTATAATGGAAGGCAGAGCCCGGCGGATATGGATATTATATGTCACAGAATAAGGATCAAGGCATGTATGCTGCTGCTGCTGGCAATCACCAGCAGCAACCTGTGAGCTGACGTGGCATTCGCGCGCGGCTGTACTGTTTGAGTTATACCTCAGAAAACTAAAATGTGCCCCTTTTTTTTCATATGTATTTGTGCTATTTTAAATTTGAGACTGATAATAAAAATCAGTTGTGTGAGAATTTTGTAGCTGGATTGAATTCATCCATTAGCTAGTTCATGGATACATGCAATCTGTGCACACATTTGGAACCTGAAGTTTATCATAATGTTTGGTGACTTCAATATATATATATATATATATATATATATATATATATATATATATATATATATATATATATATATATATATATATATATATATATAACAAGAACAACAACCCAGTTAAATCCCACAAGAGTAGGGTCTGGGAGGGTGTGTGTACGCAGACCTTACCCCTACTCGAAAGTAGAGAGGCTGTTTCCAAAGAGACCCCCGGCTTAACGTTGAAAGTTGCATTGTTTGACTAATTGCTACTTCATTAATTAAAGAAGCGCAGACAGTTTAGAGATCCATTTTGATTTATTCCATCACACCCCAAAGCCAAAAAATGGTGAAATTTTATATATATAATGATAAAATATGCTTCGTCCTCTCTCTAGATCTAGGGCTTTGCCGATCTGATCGCCGCCATGGCGTCTCCGGCAACTGCCATCCTCGAGCTATGTCCTCCCAATTTTTCTTTGATTCTTTGGCCTCCGGGGGTTTGAAATCCTCGTCGAGGTATAAAGGATTGCCTAGCGTTACCTTTTCTGATAATGAAGTCGCGTCCCTATGCACCAAATTCCGGCGAACTCTCGTTGGAAAATTTCCAAAAGGTCATCCCTCGTTAAGCTCCATCCGTGCATCCATTGAAAGGATTGGCTTGAGTAGCTCTCCTAAGGTAACTCTACTTGATGACACACATATTTTGTTATCTTTCTCTGAGGAAAAGGACTTTCTTCGTTGTCTATTGCGTAAGATCTGGAAAATTTCTGGGTTTCAAGTGAAGGTCTTCAGATGGACGAACGATTTCGATCCAATTGTGGATTCTCCACTCACCCCAGTTTGGATTGGCTTTGCTGGCCTCCCAATCCATCTTTTCGAACCAAATGCTTTGTTCTCCATTGGTAATTTAATTGGTACTCCTCTAAAAATGCACCACGCCACCTTGATGTTGTCTCGCCCCTCTGTGGCACGTTTGTGCATTGAATTAGACTTGACAAAAGAACTGCCAAGAGCTGTTTGGATTCACCTTGGAAGCCTATCCTTTCTCCAACCTGTCACCTACGAAGACCTCCCTGACTTCTGCAAACGTTGTAAAACGTTTGGGCATATAACTTGCAAGAAGGCCGGAAAAGCCACTCGATGGATTAGAAGAGACTTGAGGTTGAATCAGGAAGAGGATAAGGGAGGGGACTTGGTCGTCCAATTTGAACCTTCACTTCCTGATTTAGTTGTCAACTCTTCTGTACCTTCTTCTTCAATGGTTAACACCACTTCTGTCAACGTTCCTTTAAATGGCTCTAGCTCTACTTATGCAGACAGAATCACACAGAAAGATATGTCGTTGAGAGCACACGAGACTCTCAATGAGTCCTCGGATGGCACTCAACAATACAAGGATTGCCCTGACCATGTTACACTTGGAAATGATGACCTTAATCCTGATCCAAAATTTAGCTCCCTGGCTGCTGATTCTGCCAATCATAATGAAAACAAAGATGATTTTGACTTCCATGGTTCCCACAAGACTACCAGGGAACCTAATACCCCCACTAGCCTTGCCCCTCTTGGAAATGATGAGCAGAAATCTGATCTTGTCACTACTTATCCTAACAAATACACCGAAGCTGTCCCTGTATCCACTGCCCCTGGTACTCCTGTTCAGTTGAGTACTAATAATCTTGATGTCCAGGTCTCTACTATCCACGTCACTAGTGGAAATGAAGTGCCAATCTCAGGTTCCAATGAAATCTTAAATGATACCAAACCCAAGGCTAGCCTAGAGCCTAAGGTTTCTTCTTTTTCTGTTTTCAGGGAAGTTGAAGAGGAACGAGCCAAAGCTAGAGCTAAGGACGGAATGACGATCTTCGCCAAACTCCCCTTCAAAGAACAAATCATGCAACTCAAGCTCGCACACCAAAAATTGAATGCTAAGGAGCAAAACTTCACGCAGACTAGCACTGTATCAAAGTGTATACCTACTGGATGCTCCTCGGCCCCAACAACTAACCAGTTCGACCCACTTGAGGATATCCCAGATGATGATCCACTACTTGAGGAGCATCTTGAAGATGACTTCACCATTGTACGCTCTAAAAAAGCTAACAAGAAAGAAGCCCCTGATATGACGATTCAAACAAGAAGTGGAAGGGCGCCCCATGTACCGCGTGGACAGAACCCTCGAGGGAGATGTCGCGGAAGGCATGGCCGTGGTGCCATTTAAGTTTTATCTTTGCTTTATGTACTGGGTCTTACGCCCTGTAGAGATGGTCATAGGGTTGATTGGCGAACTACACCACCCGGGTTCGATCCCCAGAAGATGCAAATTTGGAGGAATTTTAAAGAGTTAAGCGTGCTGGCATTGGAGTAGCAGAAATGATGGGTGACCCACTGGAAGTAGATTTGGGCTTATGGGACTGGGCTTTAGATTGGGCTTACTTTGGGCTTTCTATAGTGGGCTATCTACCTCGGGTGTTAACGGGCCTCGGGCCCCCTACTTGTAACCGACCGTTCATTATATAATATACATATATATATATATATATATGATATAATAAAACATGAGAGAGAGAGGTCCGGCGAGACTTCCGTCGAGAACTCCGGCGGGTAATCAGGTACAGGAACCCAATACCTGGAATCGGAATAATGCCACTAAGCCGAAGCAACCCAAGAAGAATGGCTTACGAAAACTCTTCTCGGAAGTAATCAAAGGACCCAACCACTTTGGCCAGATCAAAGATGAAGGGGAGAATGGGCCTGTTCTCACATTCTCCAATGATGACATTCAGCAATTCTCCTCCAAATACAAGTATGGAGTCACTGGAAGAATGGCAAAAGTTATCCACAACATTGATATTGCAGAGAGCCTCAAACGTGCAAATTTTGGTGGCTTCAGGATCAGCTCTCTTACTCGGTTCCAGGTGCTCATCAATTTTTCAGATGAAGAAGATTATTACAGACTCCTTACTAGGCGGAGCTGGAAGGTTTTGGATGGCAGGTTGTATCTCTCCAAATGGTCTCCTTCATACTTGCAATCTAAAGAAAGCCCTATCTTCCCTATTTGGGCTACTATCAAGCAAATTCCCATACACCTTCAAGATCCTAGAGCTCTTCTTCCCATTACGAGGCTTATTGGAATACCTATCAAAATGGACGAGCGTATAGTTCAGGCAGAATATTTGAACACTGCTAGGGTTCTGGTAGAGGTCGATCTTTCTAAACAACTTCCTACCAAGATTAAGGTCAGAATTGGGGAAACAATTAATTTCTTTCCGGTTAGTTTCCAGGATGTGCCCATTTTTTGCTCTAAATGTAGCAGGTTTGGACACTCTTGCTATACTGGGAAAATCCCCTCCAACGAGCCCACCTGAAAAATCCTCACCGGTGGGAATTTTCAGACCGGAGGTAATGGATTCCTGGACCACTCCAAACACCAAGAGACAAAGGGGAAATGGGTCCTGGTAGAGCACAAAAAGAAAGCGCCAAAAGTGGGAAGGACCTCTTTTTAGAATGGGGGGGTCGTGCAATAACATTATTATGCCCAAGCCATGTACTACTTTACAATTGGAAACAGCAGATCATGTGGACTCCTCCAAGGCCCACGTTGTAGGCACCTCACAGGTTCTTTCCCCTGTCCCCACACTTAGGCCCTCCCCTACCCATTCTTTGGCCCCATCCTTGGTGATAGTCACCGATCCCATCTCCCCCTTGGAAGACCATTTTCTCAAGAAGTATATGCATAAAGGAAGTAAGGATGACATGGCCGTATCCAATGGAAACAGAGCCAGTGATGAATTCTTACAGCAAGTACTTGGTTTGAAGGAATCTAATCTTGAAGACATCAATGAAATTACTACTCATTCAGATCTTGATGAACATGAGGTTATGGATCAGTCCCCTCTTGAACCATTTGAACTCAATACACCAAAACCTAGGAGCCCAGGCCTTCTCATTACTAGAGGAGGGGGGTATGCACACAATTTTGTTAAGCTATCATGCCAGACTAGGGGCATGAAAGCAGCGCTAGATGAACCCCCTTCAGGCCCCTCATGAACCTGTTATTTTGGAATATTAGAGGTGTAAGAGGCTCATTACCCAGGCTTCTTTCCCTCATCCAAATTCATAGGGTTCATTTTCTAGCTATTCTAGAGCCATTTGTTAAAGAAGAAAAAATTATCTCTTATGCTAAGAAATTTGGTTTCCAGTCCTATGTAGTGGCCTTAAACAACAAAGCTTGGATTTTTTGGGATGAATCCCACCTTCATTGTGTCAACAGAATCTTGGGTGATCAAATTATCAGCATCCTCTTTCACAACAATCTCCTCAACAAGGATATCCTTATTTCTACAGTTTATGGATTACATACTGAAGGGGAACGCCAATCTCTCTGGAACTCTATGATTAGCCATACATCCTCAGATACTCCGTGGATTGTTGGAGGTGATTTTAACATTATTTGCAGCCTAGATCTTGTGTCTCCTGGATAGAACGGATCGAAATTTCCATACCTTCTAAAGAGAAGAACGTAACGAACTTGTGATCTTAATAACATTTCACCTAAGGGCGGAATTTTTACGTGGCATGGGAAAAGATCCCAAGGCAAGGTCTGGAGGAGACTGGATAGGGCTCTTGTGAACACATATGCCATGAACTTCTTTGATGACATCAATCTTAACCACCTTAGCAGGAGTGGCTCGGACCACAAACCAATCCTCCTTAAAGGTGCTATAAACTCCTACAAAGGGCCCAAAATGTTCAGATTTCTCAACTGCTGGGTTTCTAATGACACCTTCATTCCTATGGTTAAATTGAATTGGGAAACGTCTAGCAATGTGAATGGAATGTCAGGCTTTGCTGAGAAACTCAAGATCCTTAAAACAGCGATTAAGGAGTGGAATTTTTCAACGTTTGGAGATATCTTCGAAAATGTTAAAATGGCTGAAGAAGAGGCACTTGCTAGACAAAACTCCTTTGATAATAATCCAACTGAAGACAACCGAGCTGCTGCAAACCTTGCATCAGCCAAACTTCTAAATGCCTGTAAAAGGGAGGCTAGTTACTGGTTCCAAAAGTCTATCATCAAATGGATGAAGGAAGGAGAATCCAATTCAAAGTTCTTTCACTCGGTGGTCAAGGGAAAGAGGGCTAAACTCAAGATCACAGCTATAAAAGATGAGGAGGGAGTTAACCACATAGATAATAACAAAATCGCTACCCTAGCTGTTGAGCACTTCACCAAGCTTTTTGAAGAGAGTCCTTGCAAAGCTCCTGAGGAAACCCTGAGATATATTCCATGTACAGTTATAGCCGAAGAGAACAACTCTTTAAAAAAGCTTCCTTCTATGGAAGAAGTGAAACAAGCAGTGTGGTCGCTCAATGAAAATGCAGCTCCAGGTCCTGATGGCTTTAATGGCTTTTTTCAGGGCCTGTTGGGATATTATCAAAATAGATCTCCTTAAGGCATGTCAGGAGTTCTTCTTAGGAGTTAAGGTTCCGGTTGCTTTTGCAAGCACAATTATCACCTTAATTCCCAAGGTAAACAGCCCCATCAAATGAGTAAGATTAACTCTCGTATTTCAGGTAACGAGACTTAGCATAGTTATCAACAAAGTCATTGGGCCTGAGCAAGCTGGATTCCAGCAAGGGAAATCTGTTGATGGTCAGATTCTCTTGGCTCAAGAGATGGCTCACCATCTTGAACGCAAGGTTGAAGGTGGCAACATCATAGTTAAGATTGATATGGCTAATGCTTTTGATAGAATGAGCTGGACATTCTTGGAGGCTGTTTTGGAAAAAATGGGTTTTGATGAAGATGTCTCAAACCTCCTCCTTTCTAATCTCAAGGCAACTAAAATGTCTATCTTATTCAATGGGTCACCTAAAGGGTTCTTTAGCATGAAAAGGGGTGTTAAACAAGGTGATCCACTCTCGCTGCTTCTTTTCATTATTGGCAGCGAGGCTTTAAGCAAATCCATCAACTGTTCTATTCAAAACCATTACATCAAGCCTTTTAACCACGGGAGAGGCCCTATTATTACCCATCTCAGCTATGCAGATGACTTGGTGGTTTTCCTTAATGCCAAACCTCGCAACCTCCTGCGCTTTATGTCTATCCTTAAAGAATATATCGCAGTCTCTGGCCAAGACATAAACTGGAATAAGTCTAGATTCTTTATGGGNGTAAGCTCCCTTTTACATATCTTGGAGGTATCATCACCAAAGGCAAACTTCATAAGGAAGACTGCCAACCTATCATCAACCATTTTGATAAGCTTCTCAGTGCTTGGTACTCCAAGGTCCTCAACCCGATGGGAAGACTCATTCTCATCAAACACGTCCTCTCTTCTATCCCCCTTCACCATATGGCAATCAGCGAGCTTCCAAAATCAGTGACCCACTTGCTCCACACCAAAATGAGCAACTTTTTGTGGGGTTTCAGGGAGGGAAAACCAAAACATCACTGGAGTAGCTGGGACACCATTTGCAGGCCGTCTCAAGAGGGTGGTCTGGGGATTCGGGACCTCAATGATGTCCAAAAAGCACTATCCCTCAAACTCCTTTGGAAAGTCATGAATGTAGACAACCTCTGGTCTTCATACATGAAGGCTAAACACATCAACCACAGGGATATTATCAAGGCCAACCTTCCAGACTCTGCCAACTGGAAAAGGATCTGCAAGGCTCACACATACTTGGCTGAGGAGGTCAGGGATTCTTTTCTAAACTCTAGTTTCTGCATGAAGGACACTTACAACCTGCTTAGGGACTCATCTCCTATCCTCTTCTCGACAAGATACACATGGAACAAGCTTCTACCAGGGAAGATTCGTCTGTTCCAATGGAAAATAATAAATGGTTGCTTCCCCTTTCCTGAAACCCTCCGTACCATGAACTACAATATTCCTTCGAGGTGCATTTTCTGCATGCATGACAATGATATGTTGAACCACAGCCTGCTTCAATGTGAAAAAATCAGGCCTATTTGGAACCTGTATGCATACTATACAGATGGGCCAAGGTTGAGAGAAGGGATAACGTTAAGACAATACCTTTTCCAATGGTGGATCTCCTCCTCGAAGAACAACTTGAAAGGGATTCTACGAGCTTGCTTGCCAGGATTCCTCTTATGGGCAATATGGAAATCCTACTCCGCACACATGTTTGGCGGCAAAGCGATCAATCTTATGCGCATCCATCATAACATTGTTTTTATGACTCAAACTTGGGCAAGCCTGCACTCTAGAAGACCTTGGATGATGAAGGCAAATGGTCTGGAGGATATTGGACTCAGTGGATGCTGGAATAGAGGGGTCATCATGCACTAACCCTCTACTTTCTTTTCATTGTATTTCTTTTGTTTTGTTCCATACCTTCGGGGCTTTGGTTTGGTCCTCTCCGAACGTGTTCTTCACACGTTTTCAATAAAATTTGGTGTGTGTATATATATATATATATATATATATATATAAGTATGTCATGTGCAAAGTGTACATATATATAAATATGTGGCATGTACAATGTATATATATACATATATATTATATTAAACATTTTATTTTACTATTTTACAATATACAAATTAAATATTATCCCTTCTTATAATCCTACTCTTTAAATTATCCAAAGTGTGTGACCCGTAAAGGCACGTATAATATTGGCCACAGTATTGACTCTACACCAATACTATAAGTAATAAGCGGTATCTAGCAACACATTATTACTCCCAGATTATAAGTTCAGACGTTTGCTCCGTCAAAACCTTTCTACGACTAAGACTTTGTATAACGTAGATCCTTTTGTCCCAATGTCTTAACTTAGTGCAAGGGATATAAAATATCCAACTTGTAGCCATTAAGTTATTCATTGATTAACAAGTCTGACTGATGAGAACGGATGTCTAAACTCATCTGAGCATGGCCATGCATTTCCTCAGTCATACTTATTAGTGGGCCTCTACAAGACATTATTCTGCTTGAGTAGCAGTGACAAATTCTTTGTACGTAATCTACGTCTTCGAAGACGTGCAGTGGCATGCCCAATACAAAGCTTGTGTACCATCCTTATTTCATACGGCTTAGGACAATGAATCAAAGCATGCGGGTTCACGCATTCGAAGAACGTAATACTTCAAGTCTAAGGATCATTATACCAATAGTCACATTAAGGACACTTAGAGCATAGGCTAAAAGTCTAGGAAATGTCCTTAAGGTGGGTCTGGTCTGGCATCCTATTATTAACGATAATATCTGCCCGAGAGTAGATGCGAACACTCTGTCATTGACCAAGAGACTAGGTCAAACATCTAACTCTCACTAGTCTCACACACACTAACGATATCCCGCTCTCATTAATGCTTCGACTATAGACCGTTCAAAATTGTACTAAGTGACAAGATGTCAGTCTCAACATCAGAAGACTCATTCTGATAAACATCTTATAGTATAATTCTAGGAATGCAATTAAGAGTTTACATTAGCATGAGATCTTTGTAAACTTATTACATCTGCCTTTACATGATAGAAAGTCTCTAAGATATTACAACAGAAGTTGGCCATAAGGGCACCATCTCCAACAATAAAGTCGTCCTCACGCCGGAGATTTGAGTAGAAAGCCCGAATCATCGTCGGGTTGATCTCCTTCCGAGCCTGGGAGACAAACGGCCATAGGCCGGTTTGATGAAGCTGCGCGTCGAGGTTGTCATAGCCCTGCAGCTCCGGTAGGCGCTCCGGGACGATCCGTGGGGGAGCCACAACCTGTTTAGAGAAGAAGGTGAGAAAACGAGTGCGCTCCTCCTCGGAATCAAACCAGAGGTACGACCCATCGCCATAGTAGAGGCGCTCCTCGGAGTTGTTTGCCGGTGCCCGGGATTTGGACTTTGATTTTCCAGAGGTTCGTGCCCTGCTCTTATCTTTCCCCATGATGATGAAGATTTCTCAATGAAAGTTGCAGAGAAAAAGAGATATGCAAGAGGAAGGGACAGAATTGTGTTTGTGTGTGTAAAAGTGAGGAGAGGGGGTCCAAATATATAGGAGAAAGGGTTCCCAACGTTCAAAATTTTGAAAAAAATAGCTGTTGGAGCATTTAATATAGTTGCCAACGGAATTTATTTTGTTTGGGACAGCGCTGTTGCTCCAGTGTACATCGCTGTTGAAAAACTTTCTGTTTTGCTTGAAAAAGATGGTGTTATGAAAACAGAGATGTTAAAAAGATGCACAGCGCTGTTGGAAAAGATTCTGGAAAACATAAGGGAAGAGAACTCCTTGTGACAGCACTGTTGGTGTTTTGTACAGCGCTGTTGGCCCAAGTTGGTTGACGGTGCTTTCTTCAACAGCGCTTTTTGTCTCTTGGACAGCGCTGTTTGCATGGTTCCCCCTGATTTTACGAATGGGGTACCTGCAAAAAAGAAAAAGTTCTCTGACGCTCAAGTTAGTAAACGTTTAACAAGTGAAAATGCACAACTTAAATCATCATGGAGTCAAGGATTTCGAGTTTGCTACGAATGCGGAAGAACGACTCTTTCTCTAAAGGTTTTGTGAAAATGTCGGCTAATTGGTTGTGTGTTTCAACGAACTCAATTTCGACATCACCTTTGAGAACATGATCTCTAATGAAATGATGCCTAATGTCAATGTGTTTCGTCCTTGAATGAAGAATGGGGTTCTTCGTCAAGCTTATAACGCTAGTATTATCACAGCGAAGAGGAACGTGATTGATACGAAGGCCATAGTCCACGAGTTCTTGCTTCATGCAAAGGATTTGAGCACAACAACTACTGGCGACTACGTATTCCGCTTCGGTTGTGGATAACGCAACACTGACTTGTTTCTTACTAAACCATGAGACTAGAGAGCTACCAAGTAAGTGGCAAGTCCCACTCGTACTTTTACGGTCCAATTTGCAACCGGAAAAGTCCGAGTCGGAATAACCAACGAGATGACAGGAAGAGCCTTTTGGATACCACATTCAAATGTTAACCGTGCCGAAAAGGTATTTCATGATCCTTTTCACCGCCGTTAAGTGCGATTCCTTCGGATACGATTGATACCTTGCGCAAAGGCATATGCTAAACATGATATTCGGCCTACTAGCGGTAAGATGGAGAAGAGATCCGATCATACCTCGATACCTTTTGACTTCTACTTCCTTACCTTTCTCGTCTTTGTCAAGATGGTCAGACGTGCTCATCGGGGTCGCCATGGCTTTGGCGTTGTCCATTTCGAACCTTTTTAGGAGCTCCTTGCAATATTTAGGTTGGCAAATAAACGTGCCATCTTTCATTTGCTTGACTTGGAGTCCCAAAAAGAATGTGAGCTCGCCCATCATTGACATCTCGAATTCACTAGTCATTAGTTTGGAGAATTCCTTGCACAAAGACTCGTTAGTAGCACCGAATATAATATCGTCTACATAAACTTGAACCAAAAGGATGTTATTGTTTTCTGTTGATAAAAAGTGTAGTGTCAACCTTTCCCGTTTGGAAACCACTATCCAAAATAAAGTTACTCAAACGTTCGTACCAAGCACGGGGTGCTTGTTTAAGACCGTAGAGCGCTTTCTTGAGTTTGAAGACGTGGTCGGGATACTCAAAGTCTTCAAACCCCGGGGGCTGGTCAACGTACACTTCCTCTTGAATAAAATCATTGAGGAAGGCACTCTTAACATCCATTTGATAAAGTTTAAAATCCATAGACGAAACAAAAGCAAGAAGTAAACGAATAGCTTCTAAACATGCTACGGGTGCATAGGTTTCTTCAAAATCAATGTCTTCTTCTTGATTGTAGCCTTTAGCTACGAGCCTAGCTTTGTTTCTAGTGATTATTCCATTTTCATCAAGTTTATTACGGAACACCCATTTCGTACCAATAATCGTACGATCATCAGGCCTTGGCACCAATTCCAAACGTCATTCTGTTTGAATTGGTTTAGCTCCTCTTGCATAGCCAAGGTCCAATATTCGTTGTTTATTGCTTCGGAAATGGTTGTAGGTTCAATTTGAGAAATAAAATCCATGTGTCCTACGGTGTCCCTAAGTGAGTTACGAGTACTTACCCCGCGGTTGATGATGCCGATTACCTGGTCAAGTGGATGGTTCTTGTTCATTCTCCAAGTGACGAGAAGCTCGGTTTCCTCTTGTTCCTGGGCTTCCTCGCGTTCTTCCTCGTCTGCTTGATCTTCTTCATTTTTGACCATCACTTGAGGTGTTTCCTCAGGTTGTGGTTACGGGTTGGTGTATTATGGCGTGTCTTCTTCATCGTCTTCAACGTGTATTCTTTCGAGTGAATCTGCAAGATCATCACAAATAGCCTTTCTCGCCAAGCGAGTATTATCTTCGGAAAACACAACATGAGGGGACTCCTCAATAGTCAAAGTCCATTTATTGAACACTCTATAGGCCTTGCTACGTAAAGAATAACCAAGAAAAATCCCTTCATCCGACTTGGCATCAAATTTTCCCAAGTTATCTTTGCCATTATTATGAGTAAAACATTTGCAACCAAAGACTCGAAGATGGGAAAGGTTTGGCTTTCTCCCTTTGTATAATTCATAGGGCGTTTTCATGAGTATCGGTCGAATGACACCTCGATTTAACACGTAGCTCGCGATACTCACGACATCCGCCCAAAAATACTTAGGGATTTTTGCCTCATTGATCATAATTCTAGTCATTTCTTCGAGACATCTATTTTTACGTTCCATCACTCCATTTTGTTGTGGTGTACGTGGGGCTGAGATGTTATGATCAATGCCAAGTTCGTCACACAAGTCTGAAAATAGATTTCGTTCGAACTTTCCCCCATGATCGCTTCTTATGGCTATTATGGTTGTGTCTTTTTCATTTTGAACTTTCTTTAGAAAATTTTTGAAAACATGAAATGCCTCACTTTTATGAGTAAGAAACAAGGTCCATGTAAACCAAGAGTATTCATCAACAATTACAAATGCAAAGTAATTACCACCGAAACTCTTCGTTCTAGAAGGACCAAAGAGATCCATTGGAAAAGTTGAAGCGGTGTAGACGTTGAAACAATGTTTTTAGACTTAAACGAAGCCTGAACTTGCTTCCCCTTTTGACATGCATCATAAATGGTGTCTTTTTCAAACTTAAGTTTTGGAATGCCAATTACTAAGTCTTGTGAAACCAATTTGTTCAAAAGGTTCATGTTCATATGAGCTACCCTTCGGTGCCATAACCAAGTGTCTTCCCTCTTTACTCATGAGGCACTTAGCAAAGCTGGAAGGTGATTTGTCTAAGTTAACCATGTAAATGGTGTCGATTCTATCACCACGTAGAATAACCTTATTATCACTAAGGTGTTCTACGGTGCATGATTTTGAATCGAAGGTCACACGATTTCCCTTGTCACATAATTGACTTATGCTCAAGAGATTGTGTTTAAGACCTTTAACAATCAAGCCATTATCTATAGATGTGTTTTCAGATTTACTGATAAAGTCGTTTTATATATAATTTTATCCTCACATTTAACATATTTTTTATAATTTTTATTCTTAATAAGAAGTAATTTTTCTATTAAAAGTCATATATCTATATTTTTGAGTAGTAAAGTTGAATGGGCCGAGAAAAATAAAAATGTTTTATTTCAATAAGAAATTAGTAATATTTTCCACCTAGAATGGAATTGGAAGTTGGAGCAAGAAAGGAAGGTGTTCAGAATAAATTTGGAAGCAAAGCATGAGTTTTGGAGCCGAATACACGACAGGCGACCAGGCAGGCGGCCGCCTACCAGGCCGCCTGCCGAACATTGGCAAACGGCGAGAATTGGCTCTGGAGGTGAACTCAAACGCAGGCGGGCAGAGTTGGCTCTGGCGGTCTAGCAGGCGGCCGCCTGCTTGACCGCCTGTCGACGTTCTCGAATCTTCGCCGTTCCAGAAACTTCCCCTCATAGCGGTGGCGGGCTGACAGGCGGCCACCTGTCTGCCCGCCTGTGGTTCTACACGGGTATAAATACCCCACTCGGCCTTTTGCTTCCACATCACTCCAAATCACTCCAAAACAACTCTAAAAACTTCCACTTTTCCCTTTATTTGAGTTTGAGAGTCCTTCTAAGGATCTTAGAGTCTTGATTTGAAGATTGTGAGCTTTGTATTCAATTCTTCAAGATCTGTAAGCTTTCTTGTAAACTTTCTTTTATTAATAAAATTATCTTTTATACTGATTTGAATTATGAATTAATGGCTTTTAGTGGCTAAATTAATACTTAGGTATGAATTGAATTAAGGGTATGAGCTAAAGATTAGTAATTAAAATTAAGTTAGTAACTTGAATAATTTGATTCACTTGTCTAAAATGAGATTCACTAATTAATAGATCTGGCCAATTTATTAATTAATCTTTGGAGATTATTTATCTAGCTTGTCTATGAGTTAAGAAAAATAATCATCGGTTGGTATAAATCTGTGTAATTACTCCGGACTTTTTTACCTATTCAATTACTATACTCTAGTTAAATTAATTCTTCGATTATTAATCTAAAATTATTATTTTAGCCCATATACTTGTTCAATTCATACCTGTTCCTAAATTATTGATTGCATTAATCGTTTACTGCTATTGCTTTGAACTTGATTGCTCTGGATTGATTGCCTTAAAGTAGAATATTAAGACAATTAGCAAATACTTCCTTTTGCCAATCCTTGTGAGACGACCCGAGTTAGTCTCGGTCAAATTTATTGACTTACCGCTATAAATTTAGCTTCGTCAATTGGCGCCGTTGCCGGGGATTGGCACGGTTGTTGTTTGTTAATTAGTTGTTAATAAAAATAATAATAATAATAATAATATTCTAATAATAATTAAAAAAAAAATATAAAATAAAATAAAATAAAATAAAAATAAATTTTAATTACTTACCTTTTTATGCATACCCGTTCTTCTAGTGCTGGAGAAATTTTACAATTTTGTGAAGATCCTGAAAGGCTTTTGAGATCTAATCGTAATATAGATTTTCAAAGAAATCAAAATCTTTTTCAAAATAATTTAAATGATTCAGAAATGGGGGAGGAGAATAGAGTTAGACGCACTGTTTTGGATACTATGATTCCTGTTTTTGAAGAAAATGACTGTATTGGCACTCCAGCCATTACAGCCGCATCTTTTGAAATAAAACCTGCCATCATACAAATAATTTCTAGTAATCAATTTGGTGGGATGAAACATGAAGACCCTAGGGCTCATATTCTTTGGTTTACCCGTACATGTTCTACTTTTAAAATTAATGGGGTAGACAAAGATGCCGTACGGCTTACTCTTTTTCCATTTTCCCTTCGAGATAGAGCTGCACGGTGGTTAAATAATTTTCCTGCGGATCATTTTTCTAATTGGGATGATTTACATAAGGCCTTCATGAACGAGTATTTCCCACCCTCGGCAGTTGCTCGAATTCGTATGTCAATCCAGCAGTTTCGCCAAGGTAGTGGAGAATCTCTTCATGAAGCATGGGAACGTTTTAAAGAATTAAGAACTAAATGTCCTCCCACATTGATTGATTCCTTTAGTTTAATGTTCCATTTTTATAATGGCTTAAACATTGATAGTAAAAAGGAACTTGATTATTCTTCTCCGGGTGGTTCTTTCCTTGAGATGACACCCGAAGAAAATGAGGCATTGATCAATAAAGTGACTTCAAATTCTCGTTATTGGTATGATGATCGTGCCCCAGTTTCTTCTTCTCAAGGAAGGATTGAAGTTGATGAAGCAACTGCGCTTAGAGCACAGATTGAGGCATTGAACGTTAAAATTAAAAACCTAGAGAAGAATCAAGTTCCACCATTTAGGGGTAGTGTAAATTCTGTTTCGTACAATTCTTATGCCCCTCATTCACAATCTTCTGAATTGGTCCTTTCTTGCGAAAATTGCATGGGTTCTCACTTAACATCTACTTGTCCTTATGATGATTTTAATTCTCATGATGTTAATCTTATGGAATATGCTCGTAAGAATGAAGGACCATGGGCTAATCAGAATAATCAATACCAAAGTAATCGAAATAATAATTTTAATAATCAAAGAAACTTTGGTAATAATTGGAGAAATGATGGCCCAAATAATAATAGGAATAATAGTGGAGGTAATTGGAGAAATCAAGGAAGTAATTCTCAGACTTATGTTCCACCACATGCTAGATCTAATGAGAATAATTCTTCCTTAGAAAAAATGTTAGGGGATTTGACTAAAACTATATCTGATTTAAAGAATGAACTGCCTAGCATTAAAACTGAATTGAGGTCTGAATTTCAAAGAGAATTACATGATGTTAAGCAGTACATGAGTCAGTTAGGGAACACTCTCACCCACCGCTCACCATGAAATTTACCTAGTACAACTGAATCAAATCCACGTGAGCATGTTCAAGCTGTAACTTTAAGAAGTGGAAGGAAGTTAGTTGAAGGTGAGAAAGTTTTAGTCAATCCTACACCACCAGCACCCACTCCACTTAATATACATATTAATAAGGAGATCGAGGAGGATGGTAATAAAAAGGACGAGGCTGAACCTGATAATCTAGGTGATTTACCTATCCCTAAAGCTAAACTTCCTTTTCCTACTAGGTTAAAAAGGGTAGATGATCACCTAACTTATACTAAGTTTTTAGATATGCTAAAACAACTTCACATTAATTTGCCTCTAATGGATGCTTTAGCAGAAATGCCTAAGTATGCCAAATTCCTTAAGGAGTTGTTAGCAAATAAAAAGCCTCGATTTGATCCTGTAGTTGCCAATTTGAGTGCTGAATGTTCGGCAGTTCTCACAAAGAATTTGCCAAAGAAACAAAAAGACCAAGGCAGTTTTACCATTCCTTGTTCCATAGATAGTGTTGCTTTTAATAATGCCTTAGCTGATTTAGGAGCGAGCATTAATCTGATGCCATCTTATGTTGCTCAAAAGCTAGGCATAAAAGAACTCTTGCCTACTAGGATGTGTATTCAACTTGCTGATAGTTCTGTTACTTATCCTTTAGGCATTGTAGAGGATGTATTAGTACAGGTAGGTAAATTTATTTTTCCTGTTGATTTTGTCGTTTTGGACATGGAGGATAAGGGAACTCCACTTATCTTAGGACGGCCTTTCTTAGCTACCGGTAAGGCTTTAATTGATGTGAGAGATGGTTCGCTAACTCTGAGAGTTGGAGATGATGTTTGCACTTTTCGACTCCCAGAGATAGCAAACCAAGAACATGCTTCTTGCAATCTTGTAAATGCTATTGATGCTTTAGATGACTTTTGGTTTGGCACCTCTTCTGTTGAAGATGGCCCACGTGAGGAAGGTATTATAAGCATGGCCAATTCAGCAGAAGAGAAATATGTTGAGTTGATGGAGTTGTGTGATAAGGCTTTACAGGAAGAAGAGAATGCAGAGCAAGTTTTGGGTGTTCAGGCTGAAGAGGATGAAGAAGAAGAGAATGAACCTGAGCCTACTCCTGAACTAAAACCATTACCCTCCCACTTGGAGTATGCATTCTTAGATGAAGAAGAGAAGTGCCCAGTCATTATTGCATCTGACCTAACCGAGGAGCAGAAGGGTAAGCTAATTGATTTGCTTAAGCTTTATGGGCATGTTATCGCTCGAAAGCTTGAGGACCTTAAGGGAATTAGTCCCACCTTCTGCACCCATAAGATTTTTATTGAAGAAGGGAAGAGACCAATGGCGCAACAACCACGAAGGTTAAATCCCAATCTTAGGAAGGTCGTAAAGAAAGAGATCATGAAGCTCTTAGATGCAGGTATTATTTATGCCATCTCTGATAGTGACTGGGTAAGTCCGATCCATGTGGTACCTAAAAAGGGAGGGATGACTGTCACTGCTAATGATAAGGGAGAGCTAATCCCTAACAGGGTGGTGACCGGGTGGCGTATGGTTGTTGACTATCGAAAATTAAATGATGCCACCCGAAAAGATCATTTCCCTCTTCCCTTTTTAGACCAGTTAGTGGAGAACTTAGCTGGGCATGGGTATTATTGTTTTCTCGACGGAATGAGTGGGTATTTTCAAATACTCGTTGACCCTGCCGACCAAGAAAAGACCACTTTTACTTGTCCAATAGGAACATTTGCCTACCGGCGAATGTCGTTTGGTCTCTGCAATGCCCCAGCTACGTTCATGAGGTGCGTGTTAGCCATATTTGAGAAGTTTATTGGAAAGATTATGGAAGTATTCATGGATGATTTTTCCATTTATGGAGAAACCTTCGATGAATGCCTCCATAATCTTGAGAAAGTTTTGAAAAGATGTGAAGAAACAAATTTAGCCCTAAGCTGGGAGAAGTGTCATTTTATGGTAAAGGAGGGAATTGTCCTTGGCCATAAAGTGTCAAAAAGGGGAATTGAAGTAGATCGGGCTAAGGTTGAGGCAATTGAGAAATTACCTTATCCATCTTCTGTTAAGGATATTCGTAGTTTTTTGGGGCATGCAGGATTCTACAGAAGATTTATAAGGGATTTCTCTAAAATTGCCAAACCCTTAACCCGATTGCTAGAAAAAGAGGCTGAATTTGTTTTCTCCACCGAGTGTAAAGTTGCTTTTGATATTTTAAAGAAGAAGTTAGTAGAAGCACCGGTCCTTACCGCCCCAGATTGGGCAGCACCTTTTGAGATAATGTGTGATGCTAGTGACTTAGTAATTGGGGCCATTCTAGGACAACGAAAGGATAACCACTTCAGGCCCATTTACTATGCTAGCAAAACTTTGGAAGGACCACAGCTTAATTATACTACTACTGAAAAAGAATTTCTTGCTATTGTCTTTGCTTTAGAGAAGTTTAGGTCTTACATCTTGCTTTCTAAAATAATTATCTATACTGACCATTCAGCGATTAGATATTTATTGAAGAAACAAGATTCTAAATCTAGACTTCTGCGTTGGGTTTTATTACTGCAAGAGTTTGATTATGAAATTGTAGATAAGCAGGGTTCTACTAATCAGGCAGCCGACCATCTTTCTAGGTTGGATGCGGGATTAGTAGACAAGTTTAGTAATAATGAGATTGAAGAATTGTTTCCTGAAGAGAGACTTTTATCCATAACTCAGACCCCGTGGTATGCTGACATTGCTAACTATCTTGTTGGGAAAGTTATACCAATTGATTTTTCTTATCACATGAAGAAAAAGTTTCTCTCAGAAGTTAAGCACTACTTTTGGGATGATCCTTATCTATTTCGAATATGTTCTGATGAAGTAGTGCGTCGTTGTGTCAATGAGTCTGAAGCACTCGATATCCTATCGCATTGCCACTCCGGGCCCACTGGAGGTCATTTCTCTGGTAATCGGACTGCCCGTCGAGTGTTAGACTGTGGATTTTATTGGCCTACAATTTTTAAAGATGCTCACAATTTTGTCAAGTCTTGTGATCAGTGTCAGAGAGTTGGGAATATTTCTAAGAGAGATGAGATGCCCCAACAATATATATTGCCATGTGAGGTTTTTGATGTTTGGGGCATTGATTTCATGGGTCCATTCCCAAGCTCTCGAGGGAATAAGTATATTCTTGTAGCAATTGATTATGTGTCGAAATGGGTTGAGGCTCAAGCCTTCCCTGCTAATGACACAAGGACTGTAGTTAGGTTTCTCAAGAAGTTATTTACTAGATTCGGTGTTCCGAAGATTTTGATTAGTGATAGAGGAACCCACTTCCGAAGCGACCCAATGGCTAAGCTGTTAATAAAATATGGGGTCCAACATAGATGTGGAGTAGCATATCATCCCCAGACCCAAGGGCAAGTTGAGAATACTAATAGGGATCTTAAAGCTATTCTAGAAAAGACTGTAGCGCATTCTAGGAAGGATTGGTCTGATAAGCTAGATGATGCGTTATGGGCTTTTCGGACTGCTTATAAGACTCCAATAGGAACTACTCCCTTTCACTTAGTCTTTGGGAAGTCTTGCCATTTGCCAGTCCAAATTGAGCATAGAGCGCTCTGGGCCCTAACGAATGTGTGTCTCGATCCTTCAACTACTGGGAAGGAGCGTTTCTACCAATTAAATGAGTTCGACGAATGGCGGACTTTAGCTTTTAGGAACAATGCTTATCTTAAGGAGCGTACGAAGATTTATCACGATAAGTTTATTAAAGCAAATCATGAATTTGATGTAGGAGATAAGGTGTTGTTGTATAATTCTAAGCTTAAACCTTTCCCAGGAAAGCTTAAGTCTAGATGGATAGGTCCTTTCACGGTCACTCAGGTTTTTCCTTATGGTACTGTTGAGATTGATGATCCTCATCGAGGACGAATCAAGGTTAATGGTCATCAGTTGAAAATTTACCGTGGAGGAACTTTTCAAAGGGATACGGAAGTGTTTCACTTTTGAGAACTTGGATGATCATGCTAATTTCGTCGAGCTAGCGACATTAAATCTAGCGCTAAACGGGAGGCAACCCGTCAATGCTTTACTATTCACATTACTGTTTACTTTTTTCCTTCACTTTATTTGTATTGCTTGTTTTTTTTGTGTGTGTTTTGGTTACAGATGGCCGAAGAAGATTATGAGGAGGAGGCTCTCAATGTCACGCTGCCAGCTGCATTCGAGATGCACTTGCCATCAGGAGAGCCCCGTAAGCATTTTCGCACATGGGGAAGGAAGAGAACTCTTCTAGGGCCACTCTCTCTTGATCAGGTGACCCTAGAGGAGTGGAGCCACTGGGAGGAGATTGATGGCCTACTTGCAGACTCTCGTTGGCGCTACTTACTCACCTTTGCAGAACAGTCTAGTTTGGAGCTGACGATCGAGTTTCTTTGCACCTACGAGTGTCTGCATGGTGGCCGGCCTATTAAGGATGCAGCTGATGTCAGACCCGATTCCACCTTGAAGTTCTCACTTAGTGGTCGAGCCTTCACCCTTTCCATAGCCGAGTTCGGGCGTCATTTGGGGATATACACTGAGGAGGAGGCACGCTCCCTTGTCTTTGCTGCTCTTCCGTATTCCTTACCTTCAGAGTTCAGCCTTGAGCAGTTCTGGCGACAGCACTCCCTGTCGACGACACCGTTCAACAAGAACACAGCACATACTTGTCAGTGGAGGAGCAGCGCCTGGAGGATACTCTGTTTTGTGCTTTCACATGGTCTTTTTGGTCGTCCGACTAACTCAAATCGGATTGGCATGAAGGACATATACTTCTTTTGGAGTGTGGCAGAAAGGGTTCAGGTGAACTTGGCTATCTTCATGGCTCAGTTCTTCCTACTTCAGGGGAAGAGCCAGAGGAAGACTCTTCAGGCAGGACCCTTTGTTACTCGCCTTGCACGTTCCCTTCTACCCCAGATGCCAGGTAATTTGCTTCCCATTGACCAGAGCATTCGCCCTCTGAGCACCACAACTCTCACGAAGATGGGGATCGCGAAGAGACGTCGAGTAGAGGAGACTGATGAGCCAACCCTGGATTTCTTTGATGGGCTTGATACCACCGTCCATTCTCCCATTCCAGACGCCACCACGGAGACTTTCATGGCTGGGGGTTCTTCTTTTGTTCAGCCCGGGACGTACACAGCCTCGTCGAGTGGTGCTGATCCAACCATGCTCCAGAAGATCCTAGAGGAGATGATGAAGATGAACACGAGGATGGGTGCTATCGAGACCAGCATACAAGATGTGAAGGACATCATGGAGACTGACCATAGTGCCCATGTGAAGCAAATGAAGAGGATGAATGAACGCCTAGAGTCTCACACTCAGAAGCTCCATGAGCTTGAAATGATGCTCGGTAAGAAGTCTGCGCCTCCAGCTCCTTCATCTAGAGCCAGCCACCAGTAGCGAAGATATTTTAATTTCTGTTGATTTGAAACAATTTTATTTTGACTTGGCCTGTTTAATTTGCTACTCTAATTTATGCAAACATTTATGGTTAAAGCTTGCACTTTACTGTTTATTTCAAGTGTGAGGAGGAATGTTACCCCTGTTCTTTGACTCATCTCTTGCATCTCGACTACGAGGACGTAGTTCGACTCAAGTGTGAGGAGGTAGAGTTCGAGTATCAGGTATGATTTGTTGTCTCACTCTCGTAATTCTTGATACACACTAAGTTGTAGTCATATTTTTTTCTCGTACTCTATCTCTTCCTTGCTATTTTCCTTTCATTTAAACTAATTAACTTATTTCTTATTTATTAAGAGATGCACAAGTGGGTTTAATGGTTGAGAAAGTTAGGGATTAAGAACTAGTAGTTTGGATGATGGGAATTTCTCTTCTTTCAAAAAAAAAAAAAAGAAGTTAGCTATTGAGATTGCGCTTAAGTGACGAATTGGGAATCCTATCTCCGTAAAGGAGCTCTGCTTCTCCCGTGAATCGCATAAGGTGAGGGAGCAAGTATGCAAATAAAATGGGATAAACCCACAATCTTGATAGTCTATAAGTTACGTGAGTATTCTATCTCCCATGGAGCTCTGTCCAAAGAAAATCATTGAACAGTTATAAATAATAAAAGCATAAGGACATTTATGGGATACTCACGGATTTACTTGAGTTAAGTCATGATAGAGGAAGGTAATTCCCTAAGTCCAAAAACTACTATGTTTTTAATCCTTGGGAATTGGTTAGAGAATGAAATCTTGTGCATCTCCTAAAAAATTTAGAAACAAGTTAGTTTTTAATAAAAGGAAAATGAGTCAAGGAATTGATAAAAGTAAGAGAAAGTTATATGATTAGTAACTTGGTGTTGTTCTTGAGAGTTACGAGTTTGACAGCGAATCATGTCATTCCTTTTCTTACTTGAGTTGTTTTGCTTGAGGGCAAGCAAAGTTTAAGTGTGAGGAGATTGATAAAGTCGTTTTATATTTAATTTTATCCTCACATTTAACATATTTTTTATAATTTTTCTTCTTAATAAGAAGTAATTTTTCTATTAAAAGTCATATATCTATATTTTTGAGTAGTAAAGTTGAATGGGCCAAGAAAAATAAAAATGTTTTATTTCAATAAGAAATTAGTAATATTTTCCTACTGGAATGGAATTGGAAGTTGGAGCAAGAAAGGAAGGTGTTCAGAATAAATTTGAAAGCAAAGCATGAGTTTTGGAGCTGAATGCACGACAGGCGACCAGGCAGGCGGCCGCCTACCAGGCCGCCTGCCGAACATTGGCAAACGGCGAGAATTGGCTCTGGCGGTGAACTCAAACGCAGGCGGGCAGAGTTGGCTCTGGCGGTCTAGCAGGCGGCCGCCTGCTTGACCGCCTGTCGACGTTCTCGAATCTTCGCCGTTCCAGAAACTTCCCCTCATAGCGGTGGCGGGCTGACAGGCGGCCGCCTGTCTGCCCGCCTGTGGTTCTACACGGGTATAAATACCCCACTCGGCCTTTTGCTTCCACATCACTCCAAATCACTCCAAAACAACTCTAAAAACTTCCACTTTTCCCTTTATTTGAGTTTGAGAGTCCTTCTAAGGATCTTAGAGTCTTGATTTGAAGATTGTGAGCTTTGTATTCAATTCTTCAAGATCTGTAAGCTTTCTTGTAAACTTTCTTTTATTAATAAAATTATCTTTTATACTGATTTGAATTATGAATTAATGGCTTTTAGTGGCTAAATTAATACTTAGGTATGAATTGAATTAAGGGTATGAGCTAAAGATTAGTAATTAAAATTAAGTTAGTAACTTGATTAATTTGATTCACTTGTCTAAAATGAGATTCACTAATTAATAGATCTGGCCAATTTATTAATTAATCTTTGGAGATTATTTATCTAGCTTGTCTATGAGTTAAGAAAAATAATCTAGCCAACCATATTTAGACACATTAATGAGGCCTGAAAAAATGGATAAGTTAATGATATGAGATCAATTTAATTAAGAAGCTAATTTAATCTAAAATTATTATTTTAGCCCATATACTTGTTCAATTNCTTTTGCCAATCCTTGTGAGACGACCCGAGTTAGTCTCGGTCAAATTTATTGACTTACCGCTATAAATTTAGCTTCGTCATTTACCTACTGAACCAATGCCGATAATCTTTCCTTTGCTATTGTCTCCAAAAATCACGTTCCCTCCTTTAGCGGGTTTAATTTAGAGAAACTTGGATGCATCCGCGGTCATGTGTTTAGAGCATCCACTATCAAGGTACCAAAGTACACTTGATGCCTTCAAGCACACCTATGAAACACATCAATGAGTTTTAGGTACCCAATTTACGTTGGGTCCTCGTGTGTGAGGTGTGTGATGGTAGTGTGCTTGATTTTGTGATAGGTGCATATGCCTAGTGTAACGAACGGGAGCAATATGGCCTATCCTATTACAATAATGGCAAACTACGTTGGGGTTGTACATGTGCCTAGGTTCATAATAGTTATAGGGTCTAACCATTTTGTTCCTATTTTGTGAAAGAGATGGTCTTTGAAAGTTTTGAAATTGACCTTTTCTAGATGATCTAACATTTCTTCTATTTTGAGAAAAGTCGGTTTTATGCACAAAATCATTTTTCTTAGGTTGTCTACCATGAACATTTTAATTCCTAGGTTTTAGTTTAGGTTGTCTAGTGTCCTTAGGTTGACTAGGTTTTCTATTATCCTGATTTTTAGGTTTCTTACATTGAGCCTTAGATGGTTGTCTAGGTGGTGGCTCAACGTTTTCTTTAACCTTAGCTTCATTTTTATTAAAACCTAAACCTTCCTTAGAAAAATGCATAGTGTCAATGAGCAAATTTAAATATTTGTGTGGAGTATTAAATTTCTTGACCGCGCTCTCAAGTTTAGTGACTTGTTCTTTTAAAGCCTTACAAGATTCACATCCACTTGAGGAACTTTCCGGTTGTCAGCGCTTCTTTTTCCAAAAAAATTGTTTTCTTGTTTTAATTTTTCATTGTCTTTTTCCAATCTTTCAAAATTGTTTTCAAGTGTAGAAAGACGTTTCTTTAAAGATTTATTCGTTTTGGAAGCGCTAACAAATTCTTCGTAAAGTTCATGAAGTGCTTCTTGCATTTCTTCAAAAGTATAAGAGTTAGAAGAAATGGTACATACATCTTGGACGTTGTCGCTTTGGTCTTCGTGCGCCATGAGGCATAGGTTTGCAGCTTCATCCACCTCTTCGTCAGTTGATTCATCGCGGAATCGCCACCCAAAGAAATGTAAGCCCTTTGCTTCTTGAGGCCGGACTTGTCTTTTCCGTGCTTGGCTTTTAGACACCTCAGCTTGATGTGGCCAATCTCGCCAAAGCCGTAGCACATAGGAGGACCATCTGCTTTCTTCCCTTCCGCTCAAATTCTTTCTTCATGAATTTGTGGAACTTCTTGATGACGAGTCCAAACTCATTGTTGTCATCGCTTGAAATCTCTTCCACCGGTTCCTTGGTGGCTTTGAGATCTATTCCCTTTTTCTTTTGCTCGTCTAATGATGGATTAAGAATAGTAGATTCGTAAGTTTTGAGATTACCTCTTAATCCATCAATTGTGACGTTGGAGACGCCAATTGACTCGTAAATGGCATCGGCCTTGGAGCGCCATTCGGGATTCAAGCTTCGAAGGATCTTCCTCACTAGATCTTTGTTGGAGTAGCTTTTCTTCAAGGCGTGAAGATCATTGATGATTTTTGAAAACCGGTCGAACATGTCATCGATTTTCTCACCTTCCTTCATTCGGAACATTTCGTACTCTTGGGTGAGAAAATCGATCTTGGCTTCACGAACATGATTGGTACCTTCGTACGTCACTTCAAGCTTGTCCCACATCTCCTTGGCAGTTGTGCAACATGAGATATTTCGGTAGTCGTCGGGGTTAACTACACAGTATAGCATGTTAATGGCTTTTGCGTAGTTTTCAACCTTCTTGATGTCCTCGGCATCAAACTCGTCCTTATTCTTTGGGACCCTGGTTTCTCCCACTTTCTTCGTTGGGATTTCCTCACCATTCTTGATCACCAACCACACTTAGAAGTTGGTGGAACAGATATAGATTCTCATCCGTTCCTTCTAATATGAGTAGTTGGTGCCATCAAAGAGCGGTGGCCTGGAGGTGGATTGCCCTTCGCCAATGCCTGCGTACAAATTTCTAGAAGAAGAGCCCATGATCCTATTCCTCTCAAACGGTTAAGTCTGGAAGAGAGTTAGGCTCTGATACCAATTGTTAGAAAAACGTCCCAATGCTAGAGGGGGGGTGAATAGCGTTTGAAATGAAAAACGATGCAGGAATAAAAATTAAAAGCGTAAAGTAAAGAACAAGGAAGAGGCACACCATTTTTACCCTGGTTCACCACAACTTGTGGCTAATCCAACCTCCCGAGAGACTCTCTCGAGCTACACTAACAACATTAAGCTTAACGGTGCTTAACAAATCCGTACAACTTGAGAGTTCGAGTCACACGAACCTTCGAAGGAAACAACCCTTCCTTCGTACAACAAGAGAAATATTTTCTCTTGTCAAGTGTCTAAGAACACTAAATCATTCAAGAACAAAACTCTCTTTTAGAGTGGATAATGAGTAACTAAGAACGCTCAAGAACACAACACAAACTTCACAAATGTGGGTCTCGAAAAGCTATGAATAATATCTGAATTGTATGCAATGAAAGAATAAGAGTTGTGAAGTAATGTGATGTGTAAAACAGACCCAAACACCCCATTTTATAGTGCAAAAGTTAGGCTCCAACGGATTAAAACATGTAATGGGTGATTGGCACAATTTGTGTAATTTGATTGAAATTGGATCTACTGAAAATCCTCTAGACAGCGCCGTCCATGGCTTGGACATCACTGTTCTAGGCTTGGTTTTTGAAAATTAGAAAGCAACGGTCATGGCTTAGACCCTACATCGCTGTTTTGGCTGTTGACTTCCAAACGAGGAAATTTTTAGCCATAAATTTCTTCCAATGGTCAGGTGCCTACATCGATGTTCACTCATTGAACATCGCTGTTTAGGCTTGACTTTGAAAGTGGAGAAGTTGGCCTGATATTGCTGTTGCTTGGACAACTTTCTGCCAATGTATTTATTTTTGGCTTAGGTTGGACAGTGATGTAGGATAGGCTACATCGTTGTTCCAGATGTTTCTAGAAACCCAACCTTGGCTCAACAGCGATGTCCAAACACCAACATCGCTGTTGGAAGACTTATATTAGCATGAAACCATGGTTTTCAGCTACCCATGCCAGACAGCGCTGTTGGTTACACCAACATCGCTATTGCGCTGGTTTAGCCAGACCCATGGTTAGTTTAGTCATGTCGTTAGCCGATCTCAAAAATCTAATTTCTCCAAAGTAAAAAACAAGTATTGAAAACATTTGTTTAATAAATTTTGCTAATAAATCAAGTAAAACATCTTAAAAACCACGTCATTTAGATAAAAACCACGGCTAGCCAAGTTTACGCCGTTTCGCATGGTTTTCACTAAACGACCAAAGGCAAAAGGTGGTTTTTGAAGTGTTTTTGTTGGAGAACTATTTAAATATACCCAGAAGTAAAAACAAAACATAAAAAGTTGAAAACCACTTGGTTGGTTTGGATGCCAAAAACCAACGCCGATAACCGAATGCCGAACGCAGGTTTCTGAAAACCGAACGCCGGATGGCTTGGTTTTTGTTTTGGGCAAACTCCAAGTGTTTTTAGGCTTGTTCAAAACTTATGAAAAAAATTTTAGAATATGCAAAAAGTATTTTAATAAAATGAGCCTAGAGAGCCAAGTTTCAGAAGTTGTGCCGGTCTTGATCACCTAAAGACTGACTCAAATAAATTCTAAGTCTTCGTTCTTGGTTCTTTGTTCTCGGTTCTCAAATCATCATGCCATGTTCCTTCGCCTTTGATTTGCTCAGTTTAATCTTGTTGTCACGGCAGTTTGGCATTATCAAAACCTGTCATAGAACGAACACGGCTTAATACGATATAGACGTAAACTTGTGTTCCAACAAAAACCACAATCAAGAATTGTACACATAAATCACAAAGATCACCAAGATAACAATTATGAATGAAACTTCAAACCTAGATGTTCACCCTTCTACAAGAACATCGATCGTCCAGTTCTTCACACCCTCTTGCAAAATGGCACCCGCCATTAATGGAAGCAAAAAAGCATCTCAAGCATTCTTGTCACCATTCCAAATGCAAAGGACACGCAAAGAAAACGGAAACATAGCAGAATTACACTCTCTTGCAGAGGACATCAAAAAGAGTGAATGAAAGAACATAATCTCAAGAGTGGAAAAATCTTGGAAGGACAAGGTGAAATGTAATGGAACATTACCAAATGCAAGGGTTCACCCATCCTTATTCGGGCATTCGGGCGAGCAAACCTTGATTCAAATGGAGTCCTTAGATGGATGTCTTGAATCGTGTCCCATTCCTCGTGGGTCAGCATCCTCACACCTGGTCCATCTTAATTCTCTCGATTAGTTAGTACCGATCAGTCTTTTACTTTAAATCTTTATAAATACAATCAAATTAGTTACGTTATATTGTGATGATTAGGATCTCTAAAATATCTTTTAATTCTTTAAAAGAATAGATTGTCGTAAATAAATAATTCATATTTATTTAATTCTATGCTGGTTTCTAAGACGTTACAAATTTAGCAAGAATCGGATTTGGTTACGCGTGAATAGTCTCACGATTTGTTTGTGCGTGAATAGCAATTTTACTTTTTATTTTTTTAAGTTTTTTAAATTTTTTATTTTTGGCTGTTCTAATTTTTTTGTTTTTCTTTCTTTTATCTAATTTTGAATTTTACAACAAAATTTATAAACTTTGACCACTAAAATAAAATTGACTTTAGATATTGTTACCAAATAATTTTATATTTATTTTATAAAATACTTTCAAAAAATTATTATTTCTAAAAGATTATTGTATTTCCAAAAAACATCGAATCAAATCAAATTCAAATCTAGTAAGATCAGATCAAATATTAAAAAAAATCATTTTTAATTATATAGGTCGTGTCATATTTGCCTGATCTAATCCTTAAATGCATCATATCAGATCTAATTAGATTGAATCAGACCAAAATAGATCTGATTAGATCAAATCAAAATAAAATATATTTAGATCACATCAAATCTTCAAAATAAAAAAATTTAATTATATAGGTCGTGTCTTGTTTGCCTGATTTTATCTATAAATGCATAAGATCAAATCAAATTAGATTAAATTCAAATTAAATTCAAATCCAATAAGATCAGATATAATCTTCAAAAAGTATCTGAACAAGGTAATTGCGTAGATCCAATTCTTCTAAATACTCATATTTTTGATTGTATAAGATCGATCGATCTTACAAGTATTGATAACTGAACTTGTTACTCACACTGATCCAATTCCTTAGGATATTCATACTTTTGACCGTATAAGATCTTACCGGTACTGATAACTATACAGATTACTTGCACATATCCAATTCTCCTAAATACTCATATTTTTGGCCATATAAGATCTTACCAATACTTATAATAACAAGGTAATTGTGCAGATCCAATTCTTCTAAATACGTATACTTTTGAGCTAATAAGATTTTAGAAGTAGTGATAACTGAACTTGTTACTCACACTGATCAAATTTCTTAGGATACTCATACTTTTGACCGTATAAGATCTTACCAGTATTGAAAACTGAACTGGGTACTTGCACAGATCCAATTCTTCTAAATACTCATATTTTTGGTCATATAAGATCTTATTTTAGATCTCTCCAAACAACTTTTTTTAACATTTCAAAACTCATACTTTCTCTGTCCCAAAAAGAATTTCTTGCTTTGATTAACGTGTAAAACCCCGTGGTTTTTAAAATCATATTTTTTGCAAATTGGTAAAGAAATAACACATAAAAAATTATATTTAAAAAACTACATCGAGAACTCTACAAAATAAGAGGTGACAAGAGTATTTTATTTTATCAAATGATCAACAACCTTACATATAATTTCATTCAGATCAGATCAAATCAGACTAGATCAATTAACATATTAGATCACACAAGATCAGATCAAATAAGATATCATCAAATTACATGAAATCATTGTTGCAAGAAACTGGAAGTACATAGAAAAAATGGGAAGTTTTCCCTCTTCCCAATTTTATTCTCCCTCTTCCAAATTATCACCAAATTCATTTTCCCTCTTCCCAATTTTATTCTCCCTCTTCCCAATTTTATTCTCCCTCTTCCAAATTATCACCAAATTCATTTTCCCTCTTCCCAATTTTATTCTCCCTCTTCCCAATTATCACCAAATTCATTTTCCCTCTTCCCTATTTCATTCTCCTTCTTCCCAAAAATTTCATTCTCCCTCTTCCCAATTATCACCAAATTCGTTTTCCCTCTTCCCAATTTCATTCTCCCTCTTCCCAATTTCATTCTCCCTCTTCCTAATTTTGTTTTTCTGTTCAAAGAACACCACTCACTCAATAGCCCAACCTTATCTGACCTTAATCGCCATTGCGTCTACGTCGTTCAAGAGCAAAGGATTCGCCGAGAGCCTTCGCCGAGAGCCTTCGCCATCAGTCCCAACCATCACCAATTCAGCGAGAGCCTTCGCCGTCAGTCCCACTGCCCAGGGCCGACTGCCCAGTCCCCAATTCATAGCCTTCAGCGTCAGTCCCACGCCGTGGAAGGTACTGTTCACTCGAAGTTTTATCTCTCCGATTCTATTGAATCCAAACACTTTTGATGGGTAATCTTGTGATATGTTGAGCGATTTGTGATACCCCTCCTTCTTTTAAAGCTTGATTTCAATTTCATTTGAATTCCCTCATGATTTGAGGATTTTTGGGATTCGTATGTACTGGATTTGGACTGCGATTCTGTCAATTTTTGCTTGCTTTTTTTTATTAACTTTGTTGTTGCGCCGGGTTTGAGAGGTTGTTTATGGTGTTTTAACAACATTTATTTGAGGGATTGAAATTTGTGGAATGACCTGCTATTCTTGACGATTATGAACTGTGTTCTTGCCTTCGTACTGGTGTTCTTGCTCTATGAACTCAGTTACTGCCTGGGTGAGGCCATGCTATTATTTTTACCTCATTTTTGTATAATCTGTGTGGGTGCCGTATGGACAGTTGCATAACTTCCTACTGTCATTGCTGGTTGAGTTCCTTCTATGTATCTTATGCTTGGACGTATTCCTAGTGTGGTTTTGGGCTCTGCCTTGATGTTGGAACTGCTACCTAGGTATAAAGGCCTTTGAATTTTACAGCATTGTTTGTGTTATTGTTATTACAACTGCATCATGATCAGCTTGTTGCAACTGTAACTGCTAGACCTCTACTTACTCTTCTAAAAGATGTGATCCCTCTAAAAGTCAAGGTACCTTTAAGGAATTTTATTTTTTTCTATCCATTTATTTAGTGAAAGGATTTGTATTGGGTTAAAGGAGTTCACTTCAAGTACTTAATGCCTGAGTTGCTGCAGGAGTGCAAAGATACACTTGGCCTCAACCTAGCCGCAATGGATCATCTCAAGGTAAGAAGCAACACGCATTTCTGTCTTGAGCAGAATTTAGTACCTTGTATTTGTGATGCCTTTGGTTTATTTGTAATGTCCATGGATCTTTTGAACTATAAGTTGCAGCTGTGTTGGTCCTCACCTGCTCCACGAACATGGCTGCTGAAACTAGAGAATCTTGATGAATTTGAGGTTCTTTTGGTTTTCAGTGGTTTTATTCATTTTCTTGTTGATGAGTTATTACATTTTCTATGCTTTCAGGGGTTCTATTAGGGTTGAATTTGATGACTGGGCTATTCAATTCTCCATTTAGTTGACTGCTTATGGATTGTAGATAACAACATTTCAGCTTAATCTGGTTTAAAATCATTTTTTTGTTCAATTTGATATCTTTCAATTTCATTACATTTAGTGTTTCATTTTCTTTCTTACCTTGGTTGTTTTCAATGGCAGATCAAGGATCCATGTATGAAGAGTGATGAATCTGTTGTGGATGGTAATGGTAATGCTACCATGCTAAAGCCAAGAGGCCAAGCAACCAGCAGTGCGAAAGACTAAGAAGGGTGATGTTTTTGTTCCATCTTCCACAAAGGCAAAGGGTCAAGCTTAAGTCATTGGGAAGAGTAAAACCATGGCTAAAAACCAATCTTTGTGTAATTGGCACTCCTACCTTATAGATTTGGTCTTTATTCTTTAATTTGAGTAAGTTTAGAATATGAAGTTTCATTCTTTGTGGTTTGTTTGTTTTCTACTTTGGATTGAAGCAAGCCAATGTACTCTTAGTTTTGTTTTTAATAAATTTTTTATACTCTTATTTTCATCTCGATATCTTCTTATTGTTTTTTGGTTTTATGATATGAGATTGATTGATTGTATGGGTTTCCAATTCTCTTTGTGTGTAGCGGGACAGTACCTTGCATATCCATGTACTTTTTCTTTCGTTTCAATGGAAGTGTTTATTTTTATGTCCATATAATTGTTTGAAACAATGTTCATTTGATTGTTGTACATATATTGTCCGAAAGTATAAAAGTAAAGTTAGAGAGCGTATCCATTTTCATTGTAAAAAAGATTACCGTTACTCTGAACCTTTAAAATAAATCTAGGCTTAAGAGCTAGACTACTGTTTAAAAAAAGTATTCTTAACTTTATTTATTATAGATAACTTTGAAAAAAATGGTTTGACACACACTACTAGTAATACATTACGGTTTCTCAAAACTTTAAAAATAGTTCTAGGCTTAATAGTCTAACTACTATTTAAAAAGGGTATTCTTATTTTATTATAAACAACTTGTAATAGATTACGGTTTCTATGAACTTAAAAAAATAGTTCTACGCTATATAAATATACTACTATTACAAGGGAGTCTTCTATTCTTATAATAAACAACTATGCAAAACAAAACCATATGAAACATACAACTTACAATAGAATACTATTTCTTATAAGTTTAAAAATAGTTATAAACTGAAAAACCAGACTATTCTTTAGAAATAGTAGTCTTAACTAATTTTTGACAACTGTGGCAATAAAAACTGTATTTTTAGATGAAACAGACTACTAATGTAACACCCCAACTCGAATAACCCCATTACCTAGATTATTTGAGCCGGAGTAGTTACCATGATGGTAATTACGCATGATAATTTGAGGAATAAGTTAAAATCATTTCAACTTTAATATAAAAGATAATTTCAAATATTAAATTTCAGAGTAATGTAGAAACAGTGCGGAAGCTTAAATATAAAACATAATCAAGTCATATTACATTTTCTGGGAACTCGCCCGAAAAAGGTATTTATTAAAATTAAGCATAGTAATTGTGGTCCACCAGTCCGTACATCTCATCACTCTCATTGACCTCTGGGATGGGCTCCATGATCAGTATTGTTACCTGCATGTAGCAAATAAAACAAACTACACGCTCAGCGTCAGCTGAGGAATACGCTAATACAACAATTCCATGTTGAATAGCAAGTAGACATACAATTATTCATGATATGGCATAATATAGCATGTATGTTCAAGATGATGATAATGATACATAATTGATGTCATACAGAGTCATGATGATTGTACTTGATGATGATTTCATGCTGTATGATTCTAACGAGCAAGGACGACCCTTGCGCTATGATATTCGCCCATTTGGTACGATGAACTCACGCCGCCTTAGTCTCACGAGGGAGACAAGAAAATAGGGGTGGAACTCGAAAGCCTGAATACCATGTACGTACACTAAGCCCGAAGCTGTGATGTCGGACTAGTAAGTCCCGCACAATCACGCTATAAGAGACGCACGAGGCATGATCTCATGCATGCATATGATGTCATATGCTACAACATGTATGATGATATGAATCATATGATATTAACAATTTTGTAAACAATATGAATATGTAATCATACATTAATTTATTTGGGTGAAACATGATAAAAATATCATTTAAATAAGCTACGTTGCTTGTAACGGTTGACTGTTTGGCACGACGGTCGACCTTGATCTTCATCGGGTCAGATTGGCGGATCACTATGACGGTAGACCGCGGTTGACCGGCGGTTGACCGTTGTTGACTGGATGGGAACGACGGTTCTCAGCTGGGCAGGCGGCAGTCAACCGTTGGCCACCGGTGGTCGACCATTTCTGTGACAAACGTGCTCCGTTTCGATGTTTAACGCGATGGTTGACCGTTTACGTTGACCGTTCAGGCCTGTGAATCTAATTTTTGATATTTTTAGATATCTAAAATACTTCTTTGAGTCATTTTAACACATATGATTAATATATTTATGTATTTAAAGTTTTCCTAACACTTATATATTCATGTAAGGAAAAGTATCAAGAAAACCATATTTTTACATTGTGAGTTTCATGAGTTTGATCTTAAAGCATAAATGACTTATAATATGGAAATCAATCCTAACGATATATCTAGATTGATATTCAGCAAAGGATTGCGTTACTAGGGTGCAATGTACTCGCCTTGATATCGTAGAGGACGGAATGATGAAAAGATAATAATACGCCTCAACGAACGTTCAACGTACGGTCACCCCTATCAACTTCGAGCTTCCGATGCCCAATCTTCTTCAAAATAAATTCCGTAAGTTTGTAATAACCACAATAGAGTTGACGGTGAGTATTTGGAAAGAAACTATGTGAAAACGATGAAGAAACATAGCCAACCCGAGGAGCTCACCACCACTGGCGCAGTCCCGGTATTTTGGCCATATCTCCCTCGTTACTTAACGAAATCACGAACCGTTTGTTAGGTTGGATTCGTAACGTCCGGGACTACAATTTTTGTATAATAAACAGTTCTAGAAAAAGGATAGGAATTTACAGGATTTACAAAGAAGTTGCTGATGCGTTTTTGGACTCAGGATTTTTGGAAATTTTGATACTTCTTGCTCTTTCTTCTTCTTCTTAGCTCAACAATGGAGATGGAGTCTCCTTTCTCCTTCCTTGTGGGCTTCCTGACAGAGAGAGAGAGAGAGGTGAAGAGAGGGTGAAAGTATTGTTTGACAAAATGGAGAAGAGTTAATATTTAATACACTCCATTTTTGGAGGTATTATGTTAGTGGAGAAATTAGTGGGTTTAGGGTGGCTTGATTGAAGAATTTGAAGATATGGGCTGCGTGATTGAGAGGAAATTTGGAAATTAAAATATTCTCCTACTCCGCAATTGATAAACTGGCTAAAACGGTACGCGTTTTTTCGCCCAAACTATTCTGAATTTAAAACGGATCGCGTTTTTAGAATCAGACTGTCAAAACTAGAATTTTGATATAATTAAAATATTTTTCTGAAAACTTTTATTTTTCAGTGTTCGGGTCTGTGTGAGTCATTAATTAATATTTAGTTTAATTAATTCTTTTATGCCTAATCTCGGGGCGTTACATTCCTCTCCCCCTTAAAATAATTTCGTCCTCAAAATTACCTGATCACTAGTCGCTGAAAAGTTGTGGATATTGAGATCTCTTGGATTCCTCAGTTTCCCAGGTTGCTTCTTCGATAGAGTGACTCCTCCAAAGCACCTAACTAAGGGTACATTTATATATATATATGTATGTATGTATGTATTTTAAATAGATGGGTGTTTTATTAAAGGGAATAAGAAAGAGGTTACAAACAAGAGCGGGTGGGATAAAACAAGTTTCCCAGCCAAAGTACAACAATGATGCTTCAATACAGAAAACTAGGGGAATATTCTTCTACGAATAGAAGATTGAAGACCTATAGTTCTCATATCTTCATCTATAATCATCCATTTCTTTCCACGATGTGCCCAGCACCACTGTTGAATCGTTGTCATAATGTTAAATATGATCTTGCTTTCCTTAAACGCCTCTCCTTCGTATTTCTCTGCATTATATGCTTTCCACAGGCCCCACACAATGAATCCTGGGAGGTTGGCAGTGAGCTTCTCCCGCATGTTGGTTCTACAAGTGACTAGCCACCAGTTCATACATACTTCCTGTATTGTGGAGTTTCCGTTGATGGGAGGGCCCTGGAACAGTGTGGAGAAGAATTTCCAGATTTTCAGAGAGTATGGACATTGAAGGAGAGTGTGGTTAGAGTCCTGAGTGCCTTGTTTACAGAAGTTGCATCTTGAAGGGATTGCCATGTTGAATCTCGACATGTTATTTGGGAATGGAAGAAGGTTATTGAAAGCTTTCCAAAGGAAGAGTTTGATCTTTGGTATTTGGGTTTTATCCGAAATCATCTTGCAAGAAATTGAGATTGGCTTTGAGTCCCTCCAAGCATTATATGCAGCTTTGGTAGAGAATTCTTCCCCTTCCCATGCCTCAGAACCCTCAGATATGTCAACATGTTGATATGCCCAGTTGTGAATTCTAGAGACTCTCTTCCAAGTAACTGAGTCAGTTGCTCTTTCACTGAACGATTGGACACAATACTTGCTCCTCATGTAGTCCCCCCATATACCTCCATTATTTCGAAGCTTCCACCAAAGTTTTGTAGAATAGGCTGCCTCTATATCCTCAAGGTGCCTAATTCCAAGCCGTCCTTCAATGGTGGGATAACAAATACTTCTCCAGTTTTTCCAGTGGTATTTGGGTTTCCCATCCCAGTATCCCCAGAAGAAGTTCTGCATTTTCTTATTTAGGATGTCCATAACGGATTTGGGCATATGTTAGACTGCCAAGATGTGGAGTGGAATTGAGCTTAGCACATGTTTGATAAGAATCAGTCTCCCCATTTGATTGAGCACTTTACTAAACCATATATTAAGATAGGAGTCAAAGTGAAGGATAACTTTCTTGCAGTGTGCCTTTTTCATCTTTCCTTTGCCAATGGTAGCTCCCAGGTAAGAAATTGGCAGCTTCCCTTCTCTCATTCCAAGTGTCCTCTCCATATTGCTCTTGATTGCATGATTAACCTTAGCTCCTGTGTAAAAGTGGCTTTTGCTGAGATTAATTTGATGTCCAGATGCTGCCAGAAACATATTCAAGAGTCCCTTGAATTTTAATAAATTCCTGCAATGGCCATTAAGAAAAAAAATGATATCATCTGCATAAGCTAAGTGTGAAGGAGGTGGAGTTCTCCCTGTATTGAAAGCTTTGAGAACTCCTTCAGCAACTTTAGCTTTGATCATTCTGCTTAAACCCTCACTGCCAAGGATGAAGAGCAAGGGAGAGAGGGGGTCCCCCTGTTTGATACCCCTCTCCATTTTGAAGAAGCCCTGAGAGACACCATTAATGAGAATAGAGAAGTGTGTGGCCTTAAGTGTTGCCAGGAGGAGATGACAAGAAGTATGGCTGAACCCAAAGGAAAGAAGAATCTGTTCAAGGTATTTCCAGGAGAGTCTATCAAAAGCCTTGGATAAATAAACCTTAATAGCTACATTGGCACTCCCTCTGCTATTATCCAAACAATGAATCATTTCCTGAGCAAATAAGATGTTCTCATCCACCCCCTTGCCTGCCTGGAATCCAGTTTGTTCCCGGCTGATGAGTTTAGGCAGTAGGTCCCTCAATCTGTTGGATAGAATTTTGGTCTTAATTTTGAAGAGGAAGTTTGAGAGAGAGATAGGTCTATAGTCCCCCAAACTTTTAGGGTTGTCCTCCTTGGGAATCAAGGTAAGTTGTGTGGCTCCATAGGATTTAGGGACAGGTAGGCACAAGAAGAATTCCTGGCTAGCCCTAACCACTTCTTGCTGGATGATGTGCCAAAATGTTTTAAAGAAGACTCCATTATAACCGTCCAGGCTAGAAGCACTGTGTTCATTTAAGTCCCAAATTGCTCTCCTAACCTCCTCCCCTTGAGGTAGTGTATAGATCAGCTTGTTATCCTCTTCATTTATAATTTTAGGGATGAAGTTAAAGATGTGTGAGTCGTCAGAGACAGAGTCTTCTTTGTACAATTTGGAGAAGAAGTTGATTGCATGAGTAGCTATTTCAGTTTTGTCCTCCAAGATCTCCCCCTCATCAGTTTTGATAGAGGAAATTTGGAGCCGTAACCTTTTCCCCTTAACCAAATTGTGGAAGAATTTTGAGCTAGCATCACCTTCCTTAATCCATTTGACACCTGCCTTTTGCTGCCAGAATTCTGATTCTCGTTTAGTAAGAAAAAGTAACTCAGCATTTGCCTTGTTAGCAGCCACAAGAGAGTTGGGTGAGGGATGGGATTCATAAAAGGTTTGTGTTGTCTTGGCACATGCTTCAGCATCCTTAATCTTCTGGAAAATATTCCCAAAAACCTCTCTATTCCAATTGTTAAGGACTGATTTCAACTCCTTCAATTTGTTTGCCAAACCTTGCATTCCATTATAGGTTTTATTGTTGTCCCAAAAATTCTTGATTATAGCTTCGAGAGAGTGATGAGAGGTCCACATGTTGAGAAACTTGAAAGGTTTGTGACCTGAGAGGGGGCTAAGGGAACACTTCAGCAAGAGAGGTCTGTGATCAGAGTTGCCTTTGCTTAGCATATCTAACGAGAGGTTGAGAAACTGGTCAAGCACTGGTTGGTTACAGAAGATATGGTCAAGTCTTCTCCAGACCTTTCCTCTACTCCGATGGCCACTCCACGAAAAGTGTCCCCCAGAAGGGGATAGGCAAAGTAGGTTGTTGGCTTCCATGCAATTTCTGAAATCAACAATGGAGTTGTGGCAAGGTTCTGAGCTCCCTTTGTGTTCATCAATACTGTGGATGCAATTAAAGTCACCACCCAGTATCCACGGCTGTACACCAGGGTTACATTTAGAGATAGACTCCCAAAGTGCCCGTCTCGAGGACCTACTATGTCTCCCGTAAATGGAGGAGATCCAGATAGACCAAAAATTAGAGTTAAACTGGCAATGAACAACCTGTTCCAGTTCCATAGTTTGAATTAAAGTGAGGGTGGGATCCTTCCAGAAAATCCAAAGTTGATTGTTGAGGTAGGAAGCAGCTTGGGACATGCCGAATTTAAATTTGAAAGCAGTCAGTTCTGTACAAGCGACCAAAGGTTCCATAATAGCAATAAACGAGCAGTTGTGAAGGGAAGTGACAGTATTAATTCTGTGGGCAGACAAAAGAGGAGGGACATTAAGAAGGATAGGAGTGAGCTTTAGCTTGACTCCTAAGAGTCATGTGCATAGGGGGCATTGGTTTCTTGGAACCTCTTCCCTTCATAAATGAAAGTGCATTCTTCTTGAAAGCAGACAATTTACCCTCCAAGGAGGAAACGGGGCTCTTGAAAATGATTTTTTCTCCTTCTCCATCAGAGTGTATGCACACAGGGGTGCAAGGGGGAACAATCTCCAGCCTGACCAGATTTTGGGCTCGCTTTGAGAGGGGGAATAATCTCCAACGGGACTACTGAGGGATGTTAGAATAAGTGACCAACGCTAGAGGGGGGGTGAATAGCGTTTGATCGCAGAAATCGCAGGAATAAAAAATTAAGAACGTGAAAAGTAAAGAGCGTAGAAAGCGTAAAGGGAGCACACCAAGATTTATACTGGTTCACCACAACGTGTGGCTAATCCAGTCTCCCGAGAGACTCTCTCAAGATACACTACTTCCGTTAAGCTTACGGGTGCTTAACAAACCGTTACAACCTGAGAACTCGAGTCCCACGAGCCTCAACAACACTGGCTCGGAGATACCGCACTCCAAGACTTCAACCCGAAGGAAAATACCTTTCCTTCCTACAACCAAGGGAAACAAGCTTCCCTTAACGTGTATACAACACTAAACACTCAAGAACAAGACTCTCTTTAAGAGTAGATGATGAGTAAACTAAGTACGCTCAAGAACAACTCAAACTTCACACAAATTGGCTCTAGAAAGCTATGGAAAATGATGTTGTTTGAATGCAATGATAATAGGAGTAATGTGAAGTGAATTGATTAGAAAAGCAGACCCAAACACCCCTTTTTATAGTGCCAAAAAAGGCTCCAACGGACCAATGCATTAAAGGGGTGATTAGCTTGATTTATGGGATTGAAAAGATTTGGGATCTGCAGAATATTGGCTTCCCATCGATGTTTGGAACTTACCCATCGCTGGTAAGCCAATTTTCCTTCAGTTTTGAAGCCAACGGTTACCTACCCATCGATGGGTAAATGCTTCTCATCGCTGGGTGGGAGGTTGACTTTCAAATAAGGAAAGAATCAGCCTTAAATGACTCCCAACGGTCATGCCTAACCATCGATGGTTAAGCCTTCCCATCGCTGGGTTCCCATCGATGGGTAAAGGTTCCCATCGCTGGGTAAGGGCATTCTGCCTTGTGAAAATGTTGGACCAAGGCTTTAACAGCGATGGGTAGAGCTTCCCATCGCTGTTTGGCATGGTTCTGGAAATTGGTTTGGCTAAGGGACCGCTTACCCATCGATGGAAAGATCTTCCCATCGCTGGGTGACATGATTCTGGAATCCCGGGATCACTTACCCATGCATGGGTGAAATCTACCATCGCTGGGTATATGGCTAGCCCAGAACCATGGCCTAGCTAACCGGCGCTGAAACCCGACCGAAAAATGCAAAGTTCTCCAAAGTAAAAACTAAGTATATAAAACACTTATTTAATGTATTTTGATGTCAAAACAAGCTTTGTAAGTTGAAAACCACGTCGTTAAGGTAAAAACCACGGTTGACCAAGTCAACACCGTACACGGGTGGTTCTCACCAAAAGACAAAACCGAAAGGTGGTTTTCATGATGTTTTGATTGGAGAACCATTTAAATGCATCCAAAAACAATTCCCAAACAAAAAGACTTTAAAACCACTTCATTTAAGTAAAAACCACGGCTAGCCAAGTTTATGCCGTTTCGCGTGGTTTTTATCAAACGACAAAAAATGAAAGGTGGTTTTTGAAGTGTTTTTGATGAAAAACTATTTAAATGTGCCCAGAAGTAAAAACCAGTCATAAAAAGTTGAAAACCACTTGGTTAGTTTGGACGCCAAAAACCAACGCCGAAAACGGAATGCCGAACGCCGGTTTCTGAAACCCGAACGCTGGATGGCTTGGTTTTTGGTTTGGGCGAACACCAAGTGTTTTTAATGTTTGAAAAACATTTTTATGATGTGTGAAATGCAATGAAAAGAATTTTAGCCTAAAGAGCCAAGGTGTAAAGGTTGGGTCGGTCTTGATCACAATTATGACCGACTCAACAACACTAAGACTACGGTCTTTGTTCTTGGTCTTCTTTTGGGTCTTGTTCTCTTGCTTTCTTCTTATGTTTATTTCTCGCCTTGTATATTCAACAACTTGTCTCGTTCACGGCGGTTTGGCATTATCAAAACCTGTCATAAAAACAAACACGGCTTTAGTACGAAAACACGATAAACCCGTGTTTCAACGAGGGATGGTAATTAGAGCTTGGGCCAGGGCTGTCCTTGGTGTCAGCAGTATTCCTGTCTTCAAGTGCCTGGAATTTATTTGCTGTTTGTAACCATGTTGGCTCTTTCCTCCTTATATTAACCTGCATGGGCTTTTCCCTTTACGCTCCACTCTGGTCCACTCATGGGACACTTTATTGTTTGTTGTGGCCCTATGCCTCGACTGGAGTTCACCACCGGTGAGGACTTTCCCGGCGGCAGGTGGGGGGGTGCAGCAGTGCCCCCATCGTTTACAGAATTTGGAGAAAAGGGGAGGGTCATAGACCACAACAATGGTTTTGACCCAAGAAGTAGAAGAAACCTGGATGGAAGAGATTTTGGGTTTGGTAGCATCCATTTCCACAAGAACTCTAGCAGTTTGGTAGTAACCTCCCCTTGCTGTGGTATCATCAAGCATGATTGGATTCCCCAGGGCCTTAACCACTGAAAACAGATTTCTTTTGTCAAGGAGGAAGAAAGGAAGGTGTTTGAGGGTTACCCAGATGAGAGCTTGATGGCTATCATGTTTATCTTCTGTGCTCGGATCCCATTTGGAAATGGAGAGCTGAATTCCATTGACCGTCCATGACCTCTTGGAGAGCATACGGAGGTAATCTCCATGCTGATTGAAGACAATGATTACCTGGAATCTGGTGACTGCTGTGATACGGAATCCTCCCTTGAAACCCCCTTTTGCCATGCTCTTTCCAATCTCCTCCGGCGAAGTATCCTTCTTGAATCTTGCCTTGACAGTAAAAGGGAACCTATCCCTGATATTATCCAGCTCTTCATCATTGAAAAACATAGTGGGTTTACCTGAGATAGATGATTTGATGCTACCAATAGGTTTACATCCTTCCTCCGTGAAAAGTTCAGAGAATAGCTTACTCGGCCGGCGTTGGCCGGAACCCTGAAAACCAGAGGATTCCGGCAGCTTTCTCTCACTAGCCATCTCTCCTCTCAATATATATATATATATATATATATATATATAATGGATTCTAGAGTGAGAAAGTCACCGGAATCCTCTGGTTTTCCGACCAGAACTCCGGCGAGAAAAACAATTCACTATACAAAGCCAAACAAGACTGATCATTCTCCATATTACAGAAAGTTATACATTCAAGAAAAAAGGAAACTGTTCTCCAAATTGGTGCCTACTACAGACAGGATTTTGGGACAGGTTCATGGCAAGGTTAGAGGCAATCCATCCATCTCTTTCAACGCTGAAGAAACCAACCATCTAGCCTTGAAGCTCAGATTCGCTCTGGTGGGTAGGTGCAACAGGAGACTGGACCTAATGAACATAAGAAAGGTAATGAATAGAATTGGTTTTGAAGACTCCCTCAAACTTCAACATCTTGATGGTAATGACATCCTTTTTAACTTCAAAGAAGAATGGGACTTCCAAAGGTTTTTCCTTAAGAGACTCTGGTTTTTTTATGGTGCTCCTGTCAAGATTTTCAAATGGTCTCCAGATTACAGCTCCAAAAAGGAAAATCCCAACATCCCTCTATGGGTAACCATCAACAGATTACCTCTCCACCTTCTTGACGTAGGTGCCCTATATCAGCTCTTTTTCCTGCTTGGCACCCCTTTGAAGGTTGATTCAGGTACTCTTCTTCACCACAGATTTGACTCTGCTAGGGCTTGTGTCATTGTTGATATTTCAGCTCCTCTTCCCTCCTGCATCCATGTTTTATTAAACAATAAGGAACTCTTGCTCCCGTGCACATTTGAAAAGGTGCCCTCCTTCTGCCAATCATGTTCTACCTTAGGTCATGGTGAGATTACCTGCATAACCTCACCGCCGGGAAGGGAAAGTGCCGGAAAAGGTATGGTGGGTATCCCTGGGGGCAGCCCCTGTCAGAAGGATCAGGAGTGGCTAGTTATTACCAAAAAGAAAAATCCAAAATCTGGTGTCTACTCTATCCCACCAATTCATTATTGGAAACCCAAAACACTAATCAGCCAAGGCATACCAAAAGCAAAATTTCAAGCAGAACAGGACAAAGTACTATCCCAGATGGCAAATTCAGAAACTTTGGGCCCTCTTCCAGTAACATGCACCCTCTTTCACAATGGAGAGAATCCAATGCCAATTGTGCATGGCATAGAAAGCACCTCTTCTCCCATGGCTACGAAGGAATTACAGGAAGACAGAATCATTTTCACCCACACCTCAGAAACTTCTGAAAGGAAGGAAAACCCTAAACTTGAGCCTCTACCTCTGCATAACAAATTCTCACCTCTTAGTCACTTAAGTGAAGAACATGGTCCAATCACTCTCAGAAGTCTTGATGACACTCATAAAAAGGGCGACTCCAGCCGTGCTACTTCAACCATTATAAATGCTATTGGACTTGATGAGGATGCTTTGGAAATTGTAGATGATGAGGAAGAAATCCCGCCTCACTACCACTCAGAGGGGGAAAAGCTACCATCAATTCAAGACCCCTCACCTGTCACTACTCTTCCTATTCAGTTAGAAAGGAGAATCAAGGCTTTGGCTCATAACAACACTATCCCCTCTTATGGTGTCCTCACTAGAAGTCATAGCAAGATATATTGTAATACCCCGTATCAAGATGGGAATGGGAAGAGCTCAAAAGGATTGATAGTACTACTCATACCAACAAGGTGCATCTTCTTTTCGAGAGCTCATCACCTAGAAACTCAAAGGTTAAGCGTGCTTGACCTGGAGCAATTCTAAGATGGGTGACCCCCTGGGAAGTTTTCCTTGGGCGCGCACGAGTGAGGACAAAGTGCGCGGAAAAGACGTGTGTTGGTTTGTGGGGCCAGTCTACAATCCTATGAGCGGACACTTACGGCTAGGGTGGGGGCCGGGGTGTTACAAATGGTATCAAAGCAACCCTGCGACCGTGACGGGCCAAAAGAGCTTAGTTCACCTAGCGGGGAAGATCTGTGGGTTCAAAAAAAAAGGATGCAACGAGAACGTTGCATTCCTAAGTGGGGGTGAATGTAATACCCCGTATCAAGATGGGAATGGGAAGAGCTCAAAAGGATTGATAGTACTACTCATACCAACAAGGTGCATCTTCTTTTCGAGAGCTCATCACCTAGAAACTCAAAGGTTAAGCGTGCTTGACCTGGAGCAATTCTAGGATGGGTGACCCCCTGGGAAGTTTTCCTTGGGCGCGCACGAGTGAGGACAAAGTGCGCGGAAAAGACGTGTGTTGGTTTGTGGGGCCAGTCTACAATCCTATGAGCGGACACTTACGGCTAGGGTGGGGGCCGGGGTGTTACATATATAGAGTTCTTTCCAACCCCTTCCCTCTCCTATGAACTTTCTTTTCTGGAATATTAGAGGGATAGCTTCTTCCCAAGCAAGACTTCTATCCCTTATTAAACTTCACAAAATTTCCTTTCTTGCTGTTTTAGAACCCCTGGTTAGCATCAATAAACTCTCCAGATACTCTCTCTCTCTAAATTTTTCTAACCACATCTCTGCCCTGGATAATAAAGCCTGGATCTTCTGGGACAATCATACCCTTCAGCTCACTGACACCAAAATGGGTGAACAAGCAGTAACCTGTATGTTCAAACAAGTTGAATCAGACAAAAAAGTGGTAATCACATCAGTTTATGGCAAACATAGTTATATTGATACAAGAAAATTGTGGAATGATATAGAGGATCATTTTGTAGAGGAAGACCTATGGCTGGTTGCTGGGGACTTCAATGCTATTCTTTCTCATAATGATCATAAAGGGAACTCTTTACCTGATCCTATTAGTATGGAAGAATTCACTCAATGCATGGATATGGCCAATCTCACACCTATCAACCCTGAAAGCAACTTCCTCACATGGACTAGTAAAAGAGGAAGAGGACAGATATGGAGACGTTTAGACTGGGTTTTTGTCAATCCACCCATGCTTCAACACTATGAAAGTGTCTCTCTTCAACATCTCAACAAGACAGGCTCAGACCACTCCCCCCTTTTGGTGAAATGCTCCACACTCAAGGAAGTTGGTCCTAAACCCTTTAGATACATCAATGCCTGGGCAAATAACTCCTCTTTTTTTCCACTCATTGAAAAATTCTGGAAAGAGAACCCTAATGTTGGTGGAATGTTTGGTCTTCATCAGAAGTTTAAAAGGCTCAAAAAGGTTCTACAGACATGGAACAAAGACACTTTTGGAAACATTTTCACTAATCTATCACAAGCAGAGGAAAAAGCTAATATTGCTGAAGTCAATTTTTCCAATGACCCCTCCCCTGCAAACAGACAGACTCTTTCTAAAGTTAACGCTGAGCTTCAATAGCAAGCAACAATGAGTTAGCCTATTGGAAACAAAAGTCACACATTAATTGGATGAACCTTGGTGACAGAAACTCAAAATTTTTCCAATCTTATGTCAAGGGCAGAAGACAAATGCTTAAAATTAGGAAAATCAAAGGGGAAAATGGAAGATATATAGATGACCTTGAGGGAATCAAGAGAGAAGCTGTGAAACATTTCTCTAAGGTCTTCACTGCCACACCAATTCAAAACATAGATGAAATCCTCAGGCATATTCCCATAACAGTTTCAGAAGAAGACAACAACATGCTTCATGCCTTACCTGACATCAAGGAGGTGAAGGAAGCAGTTTGGGCTCTTAATCCAAATAGTGCCCCTGGACCAGATGGTTTTAATGGAGATTTTTTCAGGAAAACTTGGCATATTATTGGTCATGAAATTTGTATGGCTTCTAAAGAATTTTTCCTTGGTATTTCTGTCCCTACAGGTTATGGTGCTACCTGGTTGTCCCTAATCCCCAAAAAAGTAGATCCTGCTTCATTAGAAGACTACAGGCCTATCTCTCTGTCTACTTTTCTTAGTAAAATAAATACTAAGATCCTAGCATCAAGACTACTCAAGATCCTGCCTAGGTTAATCTCTAGCCAACAAATTGCCTTTCAAAAGGGTAAAGACATTGCTGATCATATTCTACTGGTGGAGGAAGTGTACCATGAGATCAACAGAAAAGTGGAAGGAGGTAACATGATTATCAAACTTGACTTATCTAAGGCCTTTGACAGATTGAACTGGGAGTATCTGAGGGGTATCCTGGGAGCTTTTGGTTTCAATGCAAAAAATCAGAACCTCCTTTTAGCTAATCTGAAAGCCTCAAAATTCTCTGTCCTAGTCAATGGAAGTCCATCAGGGTTTTTTAAGATGACTGGAGGGGTTAAACAAGGGGATCCCCTTTCTCCTCTTTTATTCATAATTGGTTTAGAAGGGCTTAACAGATCTCTCAACTTTCATCATCACTCAGATTTTCTCACACATTTCAATGCTGGAAGAGTCCCCATCCCCACCCACCTAGCTTATGCAGACGACCTTGTCATCTTCACTAATGGTAGAGCAAGAAATCTTCTTAGGCTCTCCAACATTATTTCAGATTTCCTCCTAGCCTCAGGGCAGAGAGTTAACTATCAGAAGAGTAAATTCTATACGTCCTCAAATGTACAGCCTTCTGCTATCACAGCCAAAGAGAGAGCCCTGAAGATTACACATGACAGAGGTCAGCTGGTTTATCATGGGGTACCAATCTGTAAAGGGATACTAAGAAAAGATGACTATAATTTCCTTCTCCAGCATTTTGACAATCTGCTTTCTTCTTGGTACAACAAATCCCTTAACTCTATGGGGAGGCTCACTCTTATCAAATTCACTCTTTCTTCCATCCCATCTCATCTCATGGCTGTTCACAATCTACCAAAATCAATATCTTCTAACCTGATGAAGAGGATGGCAAACTTCCTTTGGGTTTTCAAGGATGGAAAATCTAAACACCATTGGGTCTCTTGGAAAAAGGTATGTCAGCCTTTAGAAGCTGGAGGATTAGGGATCAAACATATGGACAATATCCAAGAAGCTAATGCACTCAAGCT